TACCTTGAACTTCAACTATCTTAGACTCATAATATTCATAGTCGTCTGTCTTCTTTGGTTCATAAGGTATAACAAGTTTGTATGCTTTACCTTCTTCGAGTTTTGAGAACTTTCTGTCAAAATTTTCTTTGACTGTCAACATACCGTCAATGTATAAGTCTTCAAAAGTTGCACCACTTTTTCTAACAACAGCAAACTTAACTGGTGCAATGTTCCAAATTTTGTCAAATGTAGACTTTTCAAAATTGTAGAAGTAAACATTCAAATATGCGAATGGAGCTAACTTATCTTTGACTTCTGTCATGTACTTATTTACTGAGATGAATTTTGCCATCTTTTCTATCGGATAAAAAAATCTTTTTTTTAAAATTTACTCAGAAAAATTTTTCTTTGTATATACGCCGTTCTGAACATCTAAAAGACTTTTGACGTTTGCCAAGAATGTTCGTTTAGAAGCTGCCATATAACCATATTCTTGACAATATTGTTTATACGAATCGTACAATGACCTTTCATCTAAACACTCAAAGTCATTTTCTTCTATGAACAGTTCATAAACACTCTTGTTTGCTTCTAACAATGTTTGTCTTTCTTCGGTATGTGGAATTTGTCTTGGATTGAACTTTGAAATATCTAATGTCATAAAATATGAGAACAAGTGGTTGTAAAAGTCAGATGTCAAAGTTTCTGCTAAGTCGTCAAAATATTCTGTATCTTGCATATGAGAATCTGACGTTCTGACAACTACATATCTTCTGTCAGAACTTTCTAACTTCATCGGAACAACATTGTTTGAAACCATAATGAAGTTTGCAACATTTTCACAAACTCTTTGGTCTTTATATTTTCTTTCAACAACTCCAACTTTATCTGTTATAAGACTCTTCAAAGCATCTGAGTTCAAAACTTTTGTCGTATCTATACTTTGAAGTTCATTGCAAACTATAAGTTTCATATTCTCTATTGAAGAGTTAAATTTACCGCAGATGTTTTCTAAGTTTGTCATATTAGGGTTCGAATAACCTTCTAACAGTTTGCACAAAATATCTGTAAAGAATGTGTTCTTACCAGTTCCTTGCTTTCCAATTATAATGAGAGCAGTTTCATTTTTAGCACTTGGATGTTGTAAGATGTTTGCAAACCAACATAAGATATACTCATAGACTCTTTCGTTTCCATTGCATATAATTTCTTTGACATGGTCTAACCAAGCTTCTATAATATTTTCTTTCCATTCTACTTGTTCGTATTTATATCCAGTGAAGATAGAATAGAAGTTTGGAGAAGGTGTATAGAACTTTATACCTCGAACTGAAAAATCTTCTAACTTTGACAATAAGATATCCCAAGCATCTAACATCTTCATGCCAACTTGTACGACTTTTATTTTCTTAAGTTTCTGTCTACATTCTTGTTCTGAAACTATTGTTGCTCTTGGTTTGTTAAAGACAACATCCCATTCTTTCATGACATAACATTCTGGGGCAGAGTCGACATAAATGACTAAACGTTTCAAATTCTCGACTGCTTTGTTATAGTCTCTAAATGGACACATATTTCTGAATGCTTGGAAGTCATAAAAATCTGAAACATCTATTCTGTACATTTTTATAAAAATAAAAAAAAATATTTTTTTTTATTCTTGACTTTGTTGTTGCATTTGTTCCATTTGTTGCATTTGTTGTTCTTGAGCTATTTGTTGTTGAAGTTGTTCTTGTAATACAATACTTTCACCAGTTGCATCTTCCAATTCGAAACTTTCTGCCGTCATTGACAAATACATAGGACATAAAAGTTTTACAGGAACAAAGTTTGCGTCAACTAATGTCAACGTTATACTTGCCAAAGTGTTTGAGTTCACTAAGGTTGAAAATTCTGCATTCGAATGAACAATAGGCAAACCAGCAGAGAAAGTATTGTTTATACGCATAAGTATTTTTTGGTCATAGTAGTTTCTGTCGACATTCGAATAACACTTTGAACCTAAGTTTGAAACAATATATAAAATAGGTGTGCTTAAAGTCAATGGAACAGACATTCCTTGTATGACACCTTTTCCTGTTATAGGAAACTGTTGGTAGTAAAAACCAGATATAAGTTTTGTATTATAGCTCATATTGTTTATAGTAAACTCAGTCGGACATCCAAACATAATGAAACCTGCTCTAGTTGCAGCACATGTTACACCCGTACGTAAAGTATTAAATAAGTCAACAAAACCTGTTGGTGGTATATCTGAGTAAGTATCTTCAAAGGAGTATTTTTTACCATTCACAGCAATAAAGTCTTCTGGTGTCAAAAGAGCAAAACAGGCTTTAGTCGTCATTGTGTTTAAGGTTAGTTTACAATATCGTCCTTGAGGACTTTGTAAGTTTGTTGTTATAGAATTATATGACTCAGGGTTTTTAGTCGTAATAGTATAAACCACTATGTCTTCTGCCATTTACTTAGCAAATAAATTTTAATGAAATGTTGTGGTCGTCAAATATTTTTATGACGTCTGGGAAACTATACTTTAAGTTCAACGTTTCACCTCCTTTCATAACGTATATCTTGTCAATGACATTATATGAAACACCACAGCAACTAACGTCGGGTTCTATTTCTTTGATGTTTATATCGTCTGCCTCTGTCAAAAGTTTCAATAGTTCTTTCAAAACTTCATGAGGTGCGATGACATATGAGTTCACTTTTACAGGGTTGTGCTCAACCAAGTTTAACATTATACCTAAAGCTTGACAAATCTTCTCCTGAGTTTGAAGTTTGTTTTTCAGTTGTTGGTAGTCGTTTCGAATATCTGCAACAGAACTTAAGTCTCTGCTAACTTCAGGGTATGTTGGTTGTTCTTTTACAGGAACTATTGTTATACCATCTTGGTCTTCGTATGGTTTCCCCACTTCAACATCTCTTTCTTTGACATTGACAACAACACTTTGACTGTTTGTTTGAGTTGGTGAATTTAACTTCACATCTGCCACTGCCATTAAACCTTTTGAAACACTTACGCTTCTATTTTTCGGAAATGACATTTTACTTAGAATAAAAAGATGGACGTATTTGAGTATCTCTTCGAATTGAAGCAGAACAAAGTTTACACACACAAACAATACAAATACATTGACAGAATAGTTCTTTATACAAACAATGGAAAATGTTATAGAATAGCAGTCTTTGCTGAACCAAAATATTTTCATAAAGCAAAGAAAGTTGGTATAACCGAGATGGTGAAAGTTCTTGAAGCAGACAAAAATATAACAACAAAACTGACCGATATTTCTAAAGGTAAGTTTTTAATACAATACTATATCAAAACTGGCGTACTGTCAATATTTGACGGAGAGAAGTCAGTTCAAGAACAACTTACTGACCTGCTGCCAAAATCTGCTCGATGGAAGCTGTCGTTATGCCAATCTGAGGAGCCCCAGCAGGTTTCATCGAACGAATCTTCAAAAGAGCATCTTCCGTGAAAAGTGCTATTGGTTTTGTAAACTTCTTTGCTTTCAATTCATCTGGACCGTCTCTGTCACCAGTATATTGTATTTGAACTGTACCAACAGTTGAAATACCACCCATAAAGTCTTCTGAGTCAGCAAATGGAATGCCAAGCCAAAAGTTTGAACGGTCTCCATTTGTATATTGAGTTTTTTGACCTCCTGTATGAGTCCATACTTTCACATATGGCATAATAGAACTTTGCATTTCAGGGTTAATGGTTGTTGTGAAGTTGTTGTTAAAGTTCATAGCATCTAATGTCAAGTTGTATGACCTCATATCCTCAACTGTAGAATATTCTTCTCTTGGATAGTATTTGCCATCTATGTTTATATGGTATTTAATACCAGGGTTGTAGAAGCAAGAATAGTCATTTATAGTTCGTCTGAACAGTACAAACATAGTATCTGCATGTTTCATTGCAGTTGTTAAAGCAATATCTGTTCTTGCACCTGGGTCAGCACTTTGGTTTCCAACTTCACCTGCAAAGTCTTTGACAGATATTTGGTGTATAGGGAACATAAGTGGAACTGCAATATATTTGGCAGCTAAAGCATTTGAAATATCTGGGTCCAACATATAGACTGCAAGTCTGCTTTCTATTCTCTTGCATTCAAACTTTTCGCATGTGAACTTAACTGGGTCCCAAGCATCTCCAGCAGCATTGAAATAATAGTTTACTTCAGTGTTGAGGTTTGAGAAACCAAAGTCTAAGTCAACTTTGTTTTTGCAAAAGTCGGCGAATGACATTTTATTTGTTCCCACTACTTCTGTAAGAGTGAATGGGTCTTGTGTTGGTGCAATGACTAAGTTATTTTTGCTTGGAGTAAGTTCGATAGAAATTTTTCCTGCCCAGTTTGGCAAGTATCTTAAAAACCTGAAGATGAGGAAAGATGACAAAGGAACTCTAAGTTTCAGTTTTACTTTGGTTACTGCTGCTGCAGTTTGTCCAGAAAGGTCAACATAAACTCCTGGAACGTTAGGGTCAAGTCTTCTTATTTTCTCAATAGTTGCATACTGGTCTGTTTGTTCTCTAGCTTGTGGTTGTACTGAGTTTCTTAAAGCGAACCATTCATAGTTTGCCCATGTTACTGTTTGAACTAAGTCAGAGTTAGAATATATCTTATATCCCATAAAAACTTCTGGAGCATATTGGTATCCGACATAGAAAATTCCATTGCAACCTTTCTTGTCAGACAACTTGGCAGAAGGTTTTATTTCAATGTCTTGTTCCACGTATAAGAAAGAGTTGTCAATAGAAATTATATGAAACCTGTCGCAAGCAATATCTACTGTTGTTGAAGAACCTTCTCCAAACTCACCTACATTTCCATAAGAAACAGCAGTTGTATATTCGTAAGTTCCAGGAACTATTTCTGACCTTCTAATGGCATTGTCGCATTCGTTATACCATTCGGAAACATTTCCATTCATGGCATCCAAAACTGTTGGCGTTATATTCTGAGCGGCGTACATTTCATATGAGTAAAAATATAGAATAGTTGGATTTATATGTCATAATAGAACCCACGTGGACCAAGCTTTACTTTCTTCCTGACTGAGTTTTTAACTCTTCTTTTTCCTTCATTGCCCTCTGCTTGAAGTTGTTGCATCTTTGCATTATGTTCATCTAGTATGTTGCAAATTTCCCATGTCCTTTTTGCCTTTTGGCTCTGGTCGCCCATCTCAGGTAACCTATATCCTAGAAAGAGTTTGTCATAGTCTGTATTTGAGTCTTCGCGTATTGTTTGCATGACTCTTTCCTGAGTTTCCGGTTCAAGCTCTTCAAACAGTGCCTGTCCATATGGAATATGCTCGTTTCCAAATATATGTTTTTGTAGCCATTCTGGTTTTCTTTCCATGTTACCAACTATATCTTTTGTGAATGGGAAAGCTTTTACCCAATCTTTCAGTCTTGCGTCGTTTATTTCTGTAGTTGGTTTTATTTTGTCAAGGAACATGTTTTTCAATACTAACATTTCATTTGGTACTGTCCATTTGAGTTTTCTTAAATATTCATCCCTTCTCGATTCATCGCCTGCAAAGTAAGTTTTTATGACATTTTGTAAACTTTCGTTTGCAAGGTCATGTACAATAGGTTCTCTTCCTTCTCCCTCCCTAACTTTCTTTCTAAACTCTTCACCAAATATACCATCTCTATGGTTCTGTGTAGTTCTTTGAGATAAATGTTCTAGAACGTCAGGTGTTATATTTCCATCAGCCATGTTCATTTCATACTGGTCCAAAATATCTGCATCTTTCATATCTTTCAATGGCATTAAAGCCGCGCTGAAAATACCAGCTACATCTGGTTCACCATTCACTTCCATTGCGTCTACAACTTCTTGGAATTGTGGTTGTAAGTTTATGAACCACCTATCCGGATTAGCTTTATGACCCCATCTCATTGTAGTTCCATCGTCTGCAGAAACAAAAGTAGGTTTGTTTCCATATTGGCTAGGTTCTGAATGAACTTTAAACAATGTTTCATTTCTATATGTTTTCTTGAAATTTAACCTTTTATTTTCACCGAGTTCATCCGAAGATTGAACGTTAAATGCTCGTAAGTAAAAAGGGTTGTTGTATTTGTGTACATTTTTTTTCAGTTCTTCCATTCTATGCTGGATATTTTCATCTGATGTTGGAGTCTTTTGTATGTCGGCAAACATTTTTCGATATTCTTCTACTATGTCAGCCGAATTTTTTTTAGACTCTTGGAAATATTCCATATTCTCCGCATACTCTTGTTGAGGGTCAAGATTTTTCGGCTGTTCCAAATCTTCATCTAGTTCTGTGAAGTTAGTTTCCAAAGGAAGGACTTGTTCGTTTCCTTCAGGCTCTTCTAGCTGTTGTTGCTGAACTATTTCTTCCATGTCTGGTTGTATCTGAACTTCTTCCTGTGGAGTTTCTTGTACCTCATCTGCTGGCATTTCATATATTCCGAGACCGTTTTCAACAAGTTCCCTATTTAAGCCATCCGCATTCATAACCCTTTCTTCTTTCGTTCCGTCTCTATTTTTTACGCGTTTCATGAAGATAGTTGAATTATCATTTATCTCTGACACCAAATATCTCGGAGTAAATTCAGTCATGTCATTTGGATGATATGCTATTAAATCATATCCCTTAGCGAGCTTGTATTTTCCAGGTTTGAAATTATATCCCATTTGGTGCTGAACCATAAAGCTAAATAGGTTCGGGTCAGTATTTCCTTCCTTGAACTTTCTAATAGCTTCTTTATATCTGTCACTAAAGTCAAGAGTATCTGGGTAACCATAATTTTCCTTAAGCATTTTTAAGAATTCTTGGTTTCCTTGTTCTCTACTTCTTTTATGTCCTTGCTCTGTTTGTGGTGCAGTGTTTTGAACTGTTGGTTGTGGTGCAGTGTTTTGAACTGTTGGTTGTGGTGCAGGGTTTTGAACTGTTGGTTGTTGTGTTGGTTGTTGTGTTGGTTGCTGTGCTGGTTGTGGAGGTGGTTGTTGTGCTGGTTGTTGTGTTGGTTTTGGTGCATGCCTGTGTCTGTGTCCATGTGACGATGTAAATGTTTTAGGTAGTCCTGGTGCAGGTGCTTCTCTTGGAGGGTTTGGTGGTATATAAGTTCCACTAGCTAGTATATAAGTTCCACCAGCTGGTATATAAGTTCCACCAGCTGGCACATATGTTCCATCTGCAGCATAATGTCCTACCTGACTTTTCGTTTTTAAGAAAGCATTTACTAGGTCTGTTTTGGTCTGTTGTAACTCTTTTTCTTGACTTTCCACAACAGTTGCTCTAACGGCGTCATAGGCACTTTGAACTGCCTGTCTCGTTGCTGCATCTGTTATTTTCGTCATATTTTGTGCTACTTCTCTTAACTCTTTGTCGAAACCTTCAGACTTCAGTTTCTTTCCAGATGAGAAGTCGTTCACTTGTTTCACCTTACTATGAAGAGCTTCGAAGGCGTTCTTAAAGTCAGCATTTGTTAAAGCTTCATTTGAACTGTCTTCATCCGCTTGTATTTTTGTCCTTATTGACCCTATAAGTTGGGCTGCTTTGGCGTTGGCTTGGGCATCTAACCAGTCATTGTTAGCTTTTATATATTCTGCGCTTTTCATTGCCTTTTGCATGGCTGCGTCGTTATTTTTACTTTCTTGTGCTAAGTTTTCATACTGTACGGTTTGGTTTTGCAACTGTAAAAGTTTTTCTGCCTTTACATTTGCTTCAACTTCTTTTTTATACTCATCGCTATCCATATATGTCTTCAGGGCTTTTTGTTTTATCTCTTCATCTTTCAGTACTTTATATTGAGTAGTATGGTTTTTCAAATTTACAACATCTTGTTCCATTTTTGCTACTTCTGCTGCTTTTTCTGACACTTTTTTCGCATATTCCTCTGTACTTAGTTCTTTCAGTTGTTCTTCTTTCTTCTTTTTCTCTACGTTTAACTCATTGAGTTTCTTTGTGTGTCTGTCATATTCTAGTTTCTTTTCGTTTTCACTTATTTGTTTCTGTATGTCTATGTTTGACTTTTTGACATCTGTTATTTGATTTTTGAGTGAACTCAAATTCATTTGACTTTGAGGGTTATAAGCTGTTCCGTCTGCAGCTCCACCATAGCCTGCCATTTTCGCTAAAAGTGCCGCTCTTAAACCTCCACTCTGTGCACCAATAACTCGGTTTAAAAGCATAGGATTGCTTGACATTTGTTGCAACATAGTGGGGTCATTCAGCATTTGTTGTTGCAACTGTTGTTGTGGTGTCAGTTTTACTATTGGATGTTTCAATGCTCTCTTCCTCTTACGTATATTCTTACGTAGCTTACGTGGCATTTTAAGTGAAGTTAAAAAGCGGTTTTTGACAGATGTTTATATGACACTTTTTGTTCAGCACAAAAAACTACTCGGTCAAAGTGTTGTCAGTTTTGTAAAATAACCGTCCTATCTCATTCTATAAGGGGGAAAGGCTTCTCAAAGTATACTTCCTTGGAACGCCCGTAACTTTTCCTGTAGCGACGATAGACCCTTACTTGTCCGGACAAAGTTATACTATTTTGAGTGCTCTACAAAAAAGTCAACGGCGACGACTCTCAAAAACCGTTGTGTAAAAAGTTTTACCGTTGGACAAAAAAGTATGTATAGAAAACAAAAAACGTTTATAGTTCATTCAATATTTGAGATGGAACGGTTTGCCAACGGAGACTTTTCAATAAAATAAAAAAATAGAGGGGGTCTCCGTTGACGAAAACGGTTTATCTCAAACTTTTCTATGAGTAGTCCGAAAAAAAACAGTTCATTTTTGTCTAATGGAAGCCAACATTAACAATTCTCAACCGCTAACCAAAGCCAAAGCCCCACAACCTCCAAGAACCGGCACAGCGGTTAGAATAACCACCAAAAAATCTAACAACGAATTAAGAGAAATTCTTCAACAAATTTGCTCTAAATATCTCAAAGACGCCGAAGAAAACACACAACCAGACGCTACATACAATACTCAGTTCTGTGAAGTTCTGAACAAAGCAATTGCTAGTTCAATTGAACTTACTAAGACAATTCCAAATCCAATTGAGCTTAGCGATGTCTTAGTTCAGTATTTTCCAACATTTACTAAGCTTATAATGTTGAGAACTTTATACCAAGTTCGTCAAAATCTTCCTCGTTACATGCAACGGTCATTCGACAAGAGAATTGCTGAATTCCAAGTCTTTAGTTACGGATATGACGAAGATGAATACGTTGACGAGTTCGGAGACAACTGTACAAAATGGTTTGAATGTTATACGACAACACAATTTGAATTCGACTTTCTCGAATTCAACGCAGCAACCATTCATATCATTGCTCTTTACCTTTCCGAACAACAACAAGACCTCGCAGATGGAGATGTTGTTACTGTCGTCATGGAAACTCCTGAACAATTCGGAAAAAAGAAGTCTCTAATTGCCAAATTCGTTCCAGGACATCAGCTTTTCCAACGCACAGAAGTCTTCTGTATTCCTGGAACTAAGTTCTTTGTCAGGAGCGAACGCAAAGAAAGATATAATGTGTCATTCAATTACACATTATATAATGTTTTCGACCCAGAAGAAGGCTTCTTCCCAGAAGCAATGGAGGAAGAAGAAGAGGAGGAGGAAATACAAAACTCTATCCAAGAAGAGTCCTCCGAATTCACACCAGAAGACTAACAATTTTCCGAATAAAAACTTCATTTATACTAAACATCTTCGGGGCTAGAAGGGGCGCAGCCCCTGGAAGCCCCACTACTTTTTTTTTTTTTTTTTTTTTTTTTTTAAATTCGATATTACAGTATCTGTATATACGTCCGCAATTGTAGTTCATTTTCCAAATTTTTTTCAAAAATCAAAAAATGAAAATCAATTCTACAGAGTTTTTATTTAAAATCATAAAATTCTCATTTTTTTGGAAAAAGTTAAGGGTGCACACGAGAGGATCATGTAAACTTCAGAATTTAGAACCTTATTTTTAGGCATTATCTTGGCTACCTATTTAGGCTCGAAAAGCAAAAAATATCAAAAAATACAACTTGAGTCCATTATGACCCTTTCATGGAGGTAGTTTTTATCCGCTAGTATTTTCCCTTTGAATCTCTTTACAATTCGAAATCAAATTCAAACCTCAGTAGAAGAAAGGAAGAATCGACTTACTACGGTTGTAATACGAATAAATACATATATTTAATTATTTTTATTTACATAATAATTGTTTGAAGCTCATATTCCATCAAATTTTTAAATAAAAACATTAAAATGTTGAAAATGTTCATATATTTTAATAGGGTTTTGGCACTTTATTGAGGAATTACTACATACATAGTCGAACTGAACTTGATATTTTGAAATTTAAATTATTTATCAAAATTAAAATTTAACTTGAAATTTATAATTATTTAGTCATATTTTGCATAATTCTAAGTAGATTTTGTAAAAAATCAAGAAAGAAAAATTTTAACGTGCTTTATTTTTTCTTTTTTATAATAATACATATTATTATATAATTAACATATTCATAATGTTTCACCCTTTCAAAAATATAATCCTCCTCCTCTCAAATAAACGTACATACGGGTGGCCTCTTTTTTCAAAAAATTAAAATTTGAAATTTTGGGCTCAAATATTAGAGATTTTTTCAACCTTCAACGATATATGTTGTCTATATCAGACCTCCTTTCTTTTTGATACTTAACATTGTTCCTAAATCTTAGCCGTTAAGGCTGTTCTGAAAATATTTTTTTTTTCGAAAAAATTCGAAAAAAATTCTTAAAATTCAAAAATCCCTTAATTCCTGAGGATTTTGGAAAAAAGTTTTTACATGAACATGTGTATATTATATGAAGTATATTGATAAGGTAAAAATCAAATTTTATTGCATATTCATCGAGAAAATAAACTAACGAATCCCTCAAAATTGAGAGGGTAATCCTCCTCCTCTCAAATAAACGTACATACGGGTGCACCCTTAAATCTAAAAAAACATTTTAAAATTAGATAGAAATCAACTATCAATTAAAATCATCGAACTATTAAAGAATCTAGAAATTTTTATTTTTAATTTTAGGGGAACAATGTGATTTATTACAGTATTTATATAATGACCCATTTAACATATTCATTGTAGAATAATAGAAATGTTCATACCTTTATATTCAGCAATATAATTTAAAAAAGTTCTCAAATTTCAGGATAAAGACTTTAATTCAAAGTATACAAAACCTAAATTATAGTCAGGATTACGAAAATTCTTTTGTAATTCAGCTCAACGTTAGATATAAAAAAATACAATCAGCAAAAGAAAAAGGATGAAGTTGTTTGATTAAGCAATAAAAACATGATTTTATTTTAAGTAACATAAATCGATAGATTGATTGAAACTTAGAAATCTGTAGGTTCGGTGTAATGTGGTCCAATAAAGTGTTCAATTTGAACAACAGTTGGTGAGGGAATGAATTTTCCTTCGTTTCCGCTGTTTGATGATTTATCTCCGTTGGTTTCAGGAATTATATCAATAGGTTCGAAAGTTTGAATGACGAAGCCGAATGTTTTCCAAAATGTAACTTCTTGAATTGTGTCTTGTTTAAATTTATTGATTTTAGTGTGCAATTCGTTTCTTTTGCCTGTTTTATTTTCCATTAATTTTGATAATGTCACTTTTTTATTACTTTATCATCATTTTCCTTGATAATTTATTGGGAAATAAGATTAAATATGACACAAAAAACCAAATGACTGATGATAAGCAATCTTATTGAGACAATTAACACAGCAAAACATTTCAATTCCTCGATATTGAAAATTTTATCAAATTAGACTCTGATATAATCATTGCCAAATTCATCTTTAGTACCATTTATTGATATGGTTACGAGAGATTCATAAAATTTCCCAAGATATACAATTTCTTTCCATCCTTTTGAATCGAATACACTTTTCATGGCAAGGAAAATAAGTAAGATTCACAGATATACAATATCATTTTATTGACAATTCGAAAATTTCATATTCCATAATAATACAAAAACCATGACTTAGTAAGACAATCCAAGAGATATAACCATTAATTACATTCACTACTTATTACATTTAAATGAAATTTTTTCTTTAATTTTACTATTTTTTTGAGAAATGTTTTTTATTTTTGTGCTCCATGAGCAACTAGAATATTATAGATTTCTGGGCTCTTGGTGTTCTCGAGAGGTGTTACATTTCTATTATTTTTGAGATTAAATTTAATATTAGGCAAAGAACACAAAATTTTTACAATTTCTGTTCTGTTATACTGGCATGCACTGTGCAGTGGAGTTTCCAGATATTTGTTTTGTGCATTAACATCAAGATATTGAATACAATACTGCACAGCTTCTAAATTTCCATTATGAACGAACCAATGCAAAGCATTATGATTATAATCATCAAGTACCTGTATGTCACCTCCAAGTTCATGCAACTTTTTGAAAAATTCGAAATCATTTATTATTGCGGACCTCATAAGCACTGTTGCACCATTATTTTCTGCCCTGACATCATTGTAACCACTAATAATAGCATATTGAAGAAGTTTATCATTGTTAATTAACGAGCGTAAAGTTTGATAGATTTCATCAAATAATTTTGGAGATTTTGGCATTGAAAAAAGTTTTTCAACTTTGAGTTTAAGATCATCATCTAAAATTTGGATTCTTTTAGTACAACCAAATTTAGTTTCAGTTAATAATCTTTTTCTAAAGCAGTCCATGAATAATTTGCATTCCTCACAACATACAGTTTTATCATAGTAATCAAAAACAGTTTGAACTCCTTCAACAGTACAAAATTGAAGTTGAATATATTTTAAAAGTCGTTTGTATTTGCTAGATTTTTCGCATAATCCTATTATTACTTCTACAATTTTATTTTCACTCATCAATATGAATTCATCATTTGTCATAATTTGTTCAATCAAATCATATCCCAAATTATCTAGGATATTAATGAGTGTATTTGTGTCGATTATGTCAAAATTAGTACATATGAACTTAATGCATTTGGAGTAATCGTTAATTAGCTTAGAATAATCGAGAAATTCATTAAAGTTTGAAAGAGACATTTCTATCTTATCAAAATAATAAGAATACTGCTTAACTAGTTCGTAATTTTCTATTTCCCGACCAATAAAGAATAATTCCTGACTTTCGTTAATTGATATTTCTCCTGAATATAATCCTTTAAGAATTAAAGCATTAAAGATTTCACAGACTTCTTCTGATACATGCTCAACAATTATTGAAAGATTATTTATAGTATTATCTTGGAAAAATAAATCTTTCACTTTATTTGATAAACAAATCGCATGATGCTTTGTTGTTGCAAACTCTTTACCATTTATTATAAATGAAAATGCATTGTCATGTTTATATAGTGCTGAACTGGCTAGATAATGAGATCCAAGAGAAACTTCAATCATGGAAATTTAACGATAAATTTTAATTCAAAAAATTTGAAATAAAAATCATGACACAGAAATATTATCAAGATCCATAATAATAAATGCCATTATGAAGATATTTAATTCATATGATCTAATGAAAGTAGTAAAATCCTTGTTCTTTATTGGGAGAATTGTCTCATATATTTTTTCAACATCAATAATGAAATATCATAATTATATCTATAAATTACATAGCTATTTTTATAACACATGGTTGAGTGTTTGATCAATTATGGGCTTCAGATGAACTCAAAAATACACTACACATCATTTTGGAAATCACTATGAAATTTTAAAGCAAACAATTTCAAATAAAAGAGCTCACTAACAAGCAGATAGATTGTTTTTCCAGGCTTATTGGGTGATGTATTTTAATGAGATGACTGCTTAACAGTATTGAAATTATCGTTTCTCTTAAATTATAGTTTAAACTCGTCTTATTGAACGATAGAATTTATTTGGTCATATCGTTTCGATTGATAAATATGTATCTCAGTTATTGTAACAATCCTATCACATCAGAGATTTCGTATCCGTACCATTCAATTTTATTCCAAGCGAGTGAAATCTCGACAAAAAGTGTCTTAAAATTGCCAATGAAAGAATACATTTTTTGCTTGTTTTCTTTTGAATGGCAATAGTAGGGCATGATTATTGAATTGGAGCTTGATAGGCATATTCAATTCATTTCAATAGATCTTGATTCAAACCCCAAAATTTGACATTGACCAAACTGCACATTTTTAGTAAATCTTTTCAATTTCAATTCATCGTTAAAATTACTTTATCGAACTAGCTGCAAAATCATTGATGCATGGAAGAGCTACGGGGTAATAATAGTTATTTAATTATTCGATCCTGCTACTTTTAATTTTTTTTCAAAATCTTCCAAAAATATTTCATCTATGAAAATTGACAATCGATTCCTGATGTATTTCATTATAGAGTTATATGCATTATTATGGTTAATAATAAATATTCTAATTTCTCGATTTTTAAAATGCTTTTTTAAAAATTAAATAATTTGCAATAGAATTTTATTAGAATAATGAAATGGCGGTAAATGACAGAAATGAAAAACAGGAGAGGGTATTGGACTGTATCACCGATTCAAAAGCATATGTTAAAAATTGAGAATGATAACAGTTGATCAAAAAAGATCCATATAACATAGTAGGATATAACATTAAATGTCTAAAATATTTTAGTCGTTATGCTGGGATAAAAAAAATAAATAATTGATATATCTAAGGGTTTCGTTTTGCGAAAAAAACGTACATTACGCAATTTCGCTAAAAAACATTTAGCTAGCAATTTCGACCTTTGACTCCACTCAAGACGTCACTTTTTTAATTTTGCGGTATCATATTTTTGGAAAATCTTTATGAATATTATATAAAAAGTCTCTTTAATATCTATATTTCATATTTTTATCGATTTTTAAAGTTTTTGCGAAAAGTATTCAATTATTTTTGCTATTTGGTCGGGTAAATGTCAGATTTGCGACATTTTCTGATATGATATTCAGATTCTACGTTGATAATAATGCTTATAGAACCCTCTTGCTATTGTGTCAAAATTGCGAAACCGATAGCAAAAATATCTCGCAATATCAAAATTGAGATATTGAGTGAATTATGCATTATAGAGATTAAAAATCTGATTTGTGAAAACATCTCATCAGTTTCTAGCTAATTCAAAAATCTTTACTATCTTATTTGATTAAAATGAAAAGGGAATAGTTTCATTATGCTTTAAAGGACAGCCTTATAATATAATCATAGTTTTCGCTCAATATGCTGCATTTTTTTTCGAAATCTATGGTCAATATCCTAAATACTGATTGCTTTGCATTCATATCTCTTACATTTTCTATACCCACATCACTATTCATTGCTATTCCTATCTTTTTCATTTTTGTTTGTTTCTCATAATTTCTCAAAAAACATGATAACTTGATATTTGTAAATATCATACTTTATAACGTAAATAAGAACTTGACCTATTAAGAAAAGCAGTAATGAAAAGAAAATCTGAAATTCATAAAAATTACAAGTTTCTGATGACAATTAGCTTAATTAAACCAGGTACAAGATTATATAATTGTATTTTCTATCCAATTATCCATATAATATCTTATCCAGAAAAAATAACTTGATCAATACCAAATGATTTTTTAACTAGTAAATAAAGTATTTTTTTACACACACATTGTATATCATAGTTTTTTTTTGGTTTCGCAAAACATCCAAAAACAAATATGCTATAAAAGTGACAATTTTAGCAAAACGAAACCCTTAATATATCAGAAATTTTAGCTGGAAAAATATCTTAGAATGTCATTATCATTAAATTTTTTGCTATTATTCTATTTTATATTTGTGAAGATTTTTGAATAGATTTAGACAAAAAATGACACACAGTACATATTTAAATTGAGAGTACCAAAAAAAATTTCCAAAAATGACTACTAAAAAATAAGCGATATTGGAAAATTCTTCATTTCTTAAAAAGTCGTTAAAAGAATAAAATAATTGAGATTCAAGTTTTTCTGAGGAATATGAAATATGTAAACTATACAATTTCGTTATATTCAATTTTATTAATTGAATTTTTGTTTTAATTGATAAAATATCATTTAACAGTTGCTTTCAGTACAATCAATTAAACGTGCTTTTCAAAATTGAAAGGAAGAGCATTAATTCAATTTACAACGCACTAACGCTTTATCAGAATTTTGATGACATATCTAAAATCCATATAATCGATAGAATTTATTCATAAATATACAAAAAATAAAAATTAAAATAAAAAGTAAGATTCTTCTTCTAATGCTGCTCCAAAGTCGGTTATTAAATTGTGCCACAGTGCATCAGTAAGTCCATTATTTTCCGAACATGAGTCGCTTGAATTTGAGCTTTCAATTTCTCTTGGGCGGATTCTTGGTCTTCCACGCGGTCTAACAGGCACTATTTTCTTCTTTGAGATCTGCTTATAGCGAATCTTAACTTGATCTCCAGATCTATTAGCAAGGAATTTTGCAATTAAAGTCCAGCGATTGCCAAACTGCTGGAATGATTCGAGTATGACTCTGTCTTCGTCTTCTGTCCATTTTTCTCTGCTCTGACTTAAGAATCCTTTGAATCTTTCGATGATTGAACGTCTTGAATGATTTGAACTAAGTTTTGTTTCCAATTCATCCATTGCTAAGAGCAAATTATCCCCGTACTTGGAAACTACTTCGAGTATTTTCCTATCTTCTTCTTTTGAGAAACGATGTATCACTCTTTTAGACATGACAAGACAAAAAATGAAATTTTTCAATTATGATCAGCCAACATCTCACCTCTTTCAATTTTAATACCATTCAATATTTGAATTGTTAATAAATGCCTATCAGATATTATATTCTGCATTATAATTTCATCATATTTTTATCATCGTAAAGAATTTTCTGAAATCGGGCATGTCAAATAAAATCATAAGAATAAATAGTATATTATAATCATGTTTAAAAACGATTCAATGTAAATTGTCTGCGTTTTCGAAAAATATTAATTCTTAAAAAATGAATCATGATCTACCAGTGTATCATAAATATTTTTCTAAATGAACGTCAACGTGCTTCGATTGACACTCAAAAAATATTCTTCAGAAAATTTAAGTTTAAGGATCGAAATCATATAACTCAATAAATAATAACATTATTAACAATATTGAAAAATAAAAATCCGAATTTACATCAGAATTTGAAAGCTCATTTTTGTGATAACTTTTTAAAAGTGAAATCATAAATACTTTAAAGATCAAATAAGAATCATTTATCTTGCATGATATTATTTTAAATATTTTGTCAATTTTTTTATATCCTGACTTTTTTTTGAAGGAGAAAACTATCTAAAAGAATTCGTTTAATGACCACAAATCGTAACTATACGATGTTGTGCAAGTGACTAAAGCACATGTTATTCATAAAATTGTTCATTTATCAAATTAAAGTCAATTTTTTTAAAAGTCAATCTTGAATTATAAAAAAAAATTGTTAAAGCTCCTCTGTATAAAAATTTGATAGTATATCATATAAACATTGAAATTATGAATTATCAAAAACTTGAATTTGTTTATTTTCTTATCATCGATATTACATTTACAGTTTAGACGAATTTATCACAAATTTTCGGTTTGCAAACGAACAAGAGGAAATAACCAATGGAAATCGTGAGAACTGTAATCACTTAATTTGAAATTTTGGTTAATTGCTTAATTATATTTCATTATTTACTTCAAATGCATTATATATTTATTTCCTTTATTCTATTAAAAATGATAGTTTTTCATAATTCTTATTATAATTGAAATGGGAGTTAGATCCATTTACCTTCTTGTAAAACCGATTGTCAATTTAATAATATGTTTTAGTAAATGACTGTTAATGTATTACATAATGGATATAAAATTTTTGCTATTTACCGGCCATTAGATCAAGAAACCACATGTGCTATGAATACGAAATCTAATACAATAACTATTAATACTCTATATTCATATTTCCCATTTATTTTCAATTTTTTCGGAACTAAAAGTTTTTGAAAATGCCCAAAATGATTCAAGATCATTTCAAAATTGCTATACTCTGTTGTTTGTAATTACATTTAACGATCAATGATAATATTTTGTTAAAAATTAAATTGATGTAATATAAATCATTTTTTTTGGTCTGAGAGTATGTAATATTATTATTGCCGTCAATGAATAAAACGGTATTATTTCGAGCCTTTACCTTTCAAGATTCCATTAATTGGCCCTGGAATTTTTATTTTATATAGAACTATCGCTAATATTGGCATAATTGGGTCATAAGATGAATCTAGACGCTATCAGTCATCAGTATTACTTATTGATAAATTATTGATACATCGTATCAAGATTGATAAAAACGTTTTGAAAATTTGCCACCAAATAATTTGGACAATTTCTGACAAAATTGATCGCTTAGATTGAATAGACGTGCATTCAAAATTTTCTGTCATCAAGAGTATTTTTTGAGGGTTCGATATACGTTGAAACCAATCAGTATATCATTCTATAATTAAACGATCAAATTTATCAAGAAAAAGTAAAAAGATAGAATCATATTTGAATGATTGAAAGAAAAGAATTTAATATATATATATTAAAACATATAAAATAAAAAAATTAATGATTCATATTAATTTCTGCTTCAGCGTGTTGTATCATTTTGATCAACGTATCTTCCAACTGTTCAACACTGAAACTATATGACTTAATTCCGAGTTCATCCTTTCTTTTATCGAGTTCTTCCAACAGAATTGACGCCTTTCTATCAACAGGCACAATAACCGTGTCTTTCCTGTCATCAGCCATTATGCTCTGTGGTATAATATTCTTAGCAATATCTAAGACAGGACCGACCGTTCCGTCCTCTCTTTCGACCCTCAAAATATAACCGCAGTTGAATTGTTTCCTCAATTCTGTCGATGTCCCCTGGAATGGCATGTCTCCCCCTGCGACAATGAACAATCTTGATGACACAGCTTCAGCTTCTTCCAATGCGTGGCTTGTGATGATCAACGTCGAATCCTTGAGACCAGAGATTGTCTGCCAAATCAATTGTCTTGCTTGAACATCAACACCAGCTGTTGGTTCATCCATGACAACAATTGGAGGATTTCCAAGAAGAGAAAGTGCCAAACACAGTTTTCTCTTTTGTCCGCCACTGAGATCTTTTGCTCTTGTACTCATTTGGTGCGACATTTGAAGAGTTGTTCCGAAAAAGTCAATCGCGCAGTCGAGATCTTCTTTTTGGATACCGCGGAGAGCTCCAAACAACTCGAAATGCTCGCGTACAGATAAAAGACCAATGAGGACATTGTCTTGGAAGCAAATACCAAGATAGTTGTGGATCTCTTGGAATTGATTGGTCGGATCACCATCAAAAAGTGAAATTTCGCCACCAGAACATTTTATTGCGGCACTGAGGGTGTTTATGATCGTGCTCTTGCCGGCACCGTTCGGCCCGATCATGACAATCACTTCGCCTTTCTTTACTTGGAAGGAAACATCTTTTACGGCTGTTACGGGCGTGGCTCCTGAAAAAACTTTGTGTAAGTGGTCAACTTTTATGGCGATGTCTGCGTTTTTGACCTTGTTATAGTCTATCTGGCCTTTTCCATGGAATAATGCTTTCCAGGCGCTTAATTTGAAGACATCTTGGATATGCATCGGCTGAACTCCGAAATGTCTTGGTAAGAAGGTGTTCAAAAGAAGGAATATGATACCGTAAACAACTATGTCAATTCCGAACCACATGAATCCCCATGAAATCTTGTAAGGTGAATCTTGATAGAAATCCGACCAATGGTAGCCATTGTAACCCCTCTTAACGTGGTCGTAAAAATTCATTACCATGACTTCGTACGTAGAAAGTGGGAAAATGGACATACCGTGCTTGGCCTTATCGGAAGCATTTGGTTGTAGTGTGTAAAACTGGTGGACGTAGCAGAAGAAAATACCGAACACGGCAAATACAATAGCTTGGGAACGTCCGTGTTCGGATTTCTGCATACAAACCATAACACATGACATAAAGAACGTATGAGCGACCATAAATAAGAAGGTGAAGGCCATGAAAAGGCTAAAATCGGTTCCTTTCATACCGAACCAGTAACACATTTCCAAGGCGAAGAAGAGATACGCGATTAAGCTGAATCCAATCATGATTACGAAGTTTACTATCCAATACTGGAGCTCCGTCATGCCCATAAGGAACATTAAAGTTGTAATTTTCTCTCCTTTTTCGTCAATAATACTTTGAATAACTGGCATCGTTGCTAGAATAACGGGGACAATGCCAAAGAAGGCAAAGAATAATTGTATATCGAATTCATTAAACGATTTCTTTGTGGGAAACGGTTGTCTGTCAATATGAGAAATTTTTGGAGAAAATGGCATCATTGTGAGGTAATCTACGATAACTTGAATTAGACCTTCTTCAGGACGTCCGTAAGTGACTTGTTCGTAGATGGTAAACTGAGGATTTCTCATTGCATCTGAAGCATTTCCATTTTTCCAATGTAAACCAATGGCATTGCTGTCTGTTTGATATATGAAGTTACGCATCTCATCAACAGTGTCAACTATCGTTGAATTGATTTTTATTTGTTCTGCAAGTCTGTCAATGACCATTGCCTTTAAAAATCGTGTATTAGAACAGTTTGGTAATAAAACAATACGTGGAACTGCTTTTCCAACTCCGTATAAAAAGATACCTAAAGTTAAGTTTATATTTGCAGGTCCTTCCATTTCGGGATTTGGATTTTCTGGTACTTTAAATCTTGCATAGTGATAAATAGGGAATAAAAGTAATGTTAAAGTGCAAGCGCCTAAAAACTCAATTATTGAAGGAAAATGTCGAACTTTTGTGATTATATCTTTCTTTAATAAATACCTTAACGAACGCCAGAACTGAGGTTTTCTGGAAGTCCATAGACCACCAGTTTCAGCGTTGTTTGATCCAATCATTTGTTTTTTTACAAAAAAAAATTTTTTTTTGATATTGAATTTGATTAAAAATTTCAAAATACAATCAATATATACTCATGGAGGCCCACCTATCAGATTTATGCAATATGGTTAACGATATCTCCATATCATGGAAAGAAATGGCGAAATGAAACAGTCGATTCAAATCACTGTAATAGAACATATCCTTTGCGAATAAACTTACAGAGTAAATGGTTTTAATGTCATAAAATCAAAATTTCTAATTCAATATTTATCTTAAATTTTAAGATTTTAGATGTTTGTAGTTATAGTAAGATTACCACAAACAGTATTTCTATTGAATTCTTAATCGCAGGAAAAAATATAAAGAAATTGAATTAATATAAAAATAAATACAAACAGTTTTTATACAATTTCACAATATTCACATTCTACTTTTTTATCCTCTTCTTCTTCCGAGAGGAGCATTGATTCAAACCCCGACATTCTGTGAGGACAAGTTGGGGGCCTCATTTTAAGGGAAATTTCGGAAATTTTAGCAATTTCTTTTGCTCTCAATTTTTCCCAGTCAAAATACCTTGGCTGATGGCATAATCTGTCGATTGCGTTATCAATCATAATTAAAATATGATCATAAGGCGGAGTCTCATCAAATTGAAGACTCTGAATAGTTTTGTATATTTCTATGAACTCTGGAGGCAGAGATTTACATAAATCTTGCGCAGACATTAAAGTTTTCAATTTCTCGGATAATTCCATATCTTTACTTCCTGGCCATGGAACGTGACCTTCAGCAAGCTCAATAACGCTGTAAAACCATGACATAAGGTCATCTCGACGAGATAATGAAAAACCTAAGTGAGAGTTCAAAGAGGCATAACGACATGTACCAACATAACCGCAATTTGGATCAAAATCTATATGTTTTCCGGTTTTTGGGTTGATAAAGAATGCAGATAATCCAAAATCTATCAAACAAATAGGATGATCGCGATTGGCTCGTATTAGAAAGTTCGAAGGTTTTATGTCACGATGAACAAAACCGCAATTATGAAATTCTTGAATACATTTAAGCATTTCTGAGGATAAACGCAGAACGGAATAAGTTTTATAATGACTATCTGGTAAACATCTTCTCATCTTTGATAATGAAGGACCTAAGAGTTCCATAATACAATAATAAAATTTTTCTGTTTTTCCTTTCTCGATTAGTTTCGGAAAAAAATCCGATCCCTGCAATTTTTCAAGGAAATACATCTCTGATAGAAGTGCTTTTCTTTTTGCTGATAAATATTCTGTTTTCATTGCATAAACGTTTTTATTCAGGTCTCTAACATTATAAATATCTCCATAGCCACCTCTACCAATATGTTTGGTTATTTCATACTTGTTCACACGGTAACCAACCGATAACTCAGGCCTTTCGGAAGATTTCATAATGATATATTATTATAATGGATTTTGTGAGGATTTTTTACAAATTGAATACTTGTAAACATTTAATGCAAATCTGTTTGCAAATCCTAGTTCATATTTTTAGACTGCATAATCTGACTTTATTTATTTTTGTCACTTTTGATTTTTGTAAAGATTTAACGATGCGATTATTTGATTTGAAGTAATTTGCTTGAATAATGATAGTATTATATGAGAGCAGCATAGTTTTTAAAATTGAATAATTTATAACGTTAGAATTCAAATGAAAAAAAGAATGTAATGATTTTTTTTGAAGCTCATAACTACTTTAACTCGTATGAAAGCATGAAGTAATCAACTCATTAATCCTTTACATTAGATTTTCAAGTTGATTATCCTCATATACATAACTTTTTTATTTAATTTTATTAGAATCTCTAAGTTACATATGGAAAAAAACATATCAAAACCTAATTAATATAACTATTTTAGGAAATGTTAAACTAAAAACAATGCAATATTGACTAAAAAAGAAGATTCAACAACGATTTTGTTACTTCACTTCTGATAAGCATTATTCGTAAATGGTACATTTCACTTACCATTATATTGCATTTTTCTAATGAAATTACAGAACAATATCTATGTGAAAAAGATGAAATTAGAAATTTGGAATTTCTTCTCATTTTAAGCAAATCAGAACAACATTCAAATAAATATTCAAGACAGCAATACATTTTATCAAAGATAAAGATTTAAAATAACCCACAGTATGAAAAATTGCATTCATAAATTTTTTTTACTCGGATTGTGAGCAAAATGTAATGACAAAATTTCACAGATCTTAACCATTTATAGAATAATAGGTAGCTATTCAATACCAATAATGTTTCATGAGAGTAATTGATATATTTTAGTAAGAATAATTGAATCATTGCCATTTATTGCATCTGAGACAATTAATCTTCATTATCACACTAACCATAATTAGTTTTTTCATTCACGACCACGGAGATGGCAATAACACGTTAGATAAGAATGAGAGTAATTTTTGACATATTAATTCAATTTTGAAATAAAAAATATAAATGATTTGAGATAAAAATTGAGAGAGGGTCAAAGTTGCTATTTGTCACTTTTCCACAAGAATATAATGGGGAAAAAGTTATCATATAGTTGATCTCATTGGCTGAGGTGAGAGATTCATGTAGTGTAATGGGATAAACAGTGGGATTGCTGCTCTAAGTCCTAGGTTCGAGACACATTGGCTTAATTTTTCTCTTTTTTATTGACGTAAACTATTCAATTTTTGTGTTCTCCATTCAAATTTCAGAATTTTTTTTGCAGATTTCACGCTACATTCGAAGTTACCTTTTGTAACAACCACCACTGCCTACGAAAGACGAAAGTGTGTCACGATTTCACCCGGAAATCCGACGGTTGTTTAAGAGTATGCACTTTTGTCACCTACTCGATAAAAATTGCCTGTATTTAATCGTATGACTAATTATGATTGAATTCATAAATTAATAAATAATACTTAACAATTATACAGTTATATCCTAAATTCACAGAAATAAGGCAAATAATTTAATAATGTTTCAAAAACGATCAGAGATTCTAAAATACTCTTTATATTTCCAATATATATTGTGAACATTGTTCGGTTAATGATGTTACATGTTTTAAAAGTTTGTGTGCCATAAATATTTGGGCAAATCAAAAAAAATTGAAAATTAAGAATTTTGAATGAGATATGAATGACAATTTATATTCGATAAAATATAGCTGCAAACATTACATACATTGTTTTAACAAATTGGTTAATGTTTTTGCGCTATTAAATTTTGATAGTAAATTGTTATAGACCGAAAATAGATTTTTTCGGTTTTCTCTTCAAATAATTGAAAGAATGATACTATTATAGGTTTATTATATTATATAGCATATAATCATGCTATAGCCGAAAATTATAAGTTTTGAGAAGATTGAATAGAACACAAATAAATTTGAATGTAAGTTAAATTGCTTGTTGTTTTTAATAACTATTTAATGAGAAATCCAATATTGCAAAATTCAAATTGAATGATTGAAAGAACAGAAAAAGTCATTCTTTTCAATTTCGAATATGTTTCATTGTATTTATAATTATATGCCAAATAAGATATTTAAACTTGATTTTTGAAGGAAAATTCACAAAATTGAATGAATTCAAATAATTTTTATTCAAAAATAAACTAGTTATTTGAGTTTACCACTAATTATCCATTCAAACTACAAAGTTTGTAATTTAAAATATTTTGTGAGATCAGATTGAATTAATTCAAGGTTCTTTTCAATTAATATTAATGACCATATTACGCATTTTCGAACATTCTAAACCAAATATCTAAAAATGGGAGACGAATGTTAAATTTGCTAGACATGGGGGAGTTGTCTGCAAAGTTTTAGCTCTTATCTCTAACAAAAAATTATTTTTTAAAAAAATGACCGAATACGTTTCACAGCGAGAAAAAAATAAAAGGCAAGATAGAATTTTCTAGACATAAAGAAGTTGTTTACCGAGTTTTAGCTCTTATCTCTAACAAAAAATTAATTTTTAAAAAAATGACCGAATACGTTTCACAGCGAGAATTTATGGAAGATGAATCTTCTGCTGGTATACGAGTTTTCCACGATCCCAGATGTACAGCCAACTGTTGAACTCGTTAAAAACAAAGAATCTTATCTTTACAATCAAACAATTATTCTCACAGCAACAATCCAAGACACAGATATCGGAGACGAACTTACACTCACAATTTCCAATGATCATTTTGGAACACATACTGAAACAATCACATCCGATGGTGAGAATAAAACTTTCAACTTCACTTTTGTAGCAGATGAAGCAAAGAATCATGTATTCACAGCTACAGTTAAAGATCAAGTGGGCAAGCAGGCAACAGCCACAATTTCAGCTATGGTTTATCCATTAAGAACACAGCCTCCAAAAATCGACCCAATACCAGAATCAAGAACCTACACAACACAAACTCTTCCAAATACTGTTATCACTACAGATCTCCCGACAACAGTTTATAACGGAACAAACTTTTACTTATCAAAGTCTTACGTACAATATGTAACTCTTCAAGGAGAAACATATGTAGTTGTTGAAGTTGAAACAAATGTATTGTATGCCAGGGTTGGAGATGCAACACCTAAACCACAGGAGAAGAAGAGCAAATTACCATGGTGAATCTTTGTTGTTATTGGCTGTGCAGCATTACTTATCATTGTTACCATCATTGCATTTATTATTTGGAAAAAGAGGCAAGATGATGATACCGAAGATTCTGAAGATATCACGATATCAATGCAAGAAGAAAATGCAGTACTTAGCCCAGACTTCCTCAGCTCTGTCACTGTCATCACAGATAATCCATTGTACAATGCTGGTGAATCAATTGATGGCGATCCTGAGGATGTTTTCAGGAAAGATTTCGAACAGTCTGATTCTACTATTGAAGGAGTTTTCCTCAATGAAAGTGATGCTACTTGCAACAACATCTTCTTAAATAACAATGTACCAAGTGAGAGTATCCTTACTCAGAATAATCAAGTGTAATTTGTTTTCTTTTTTTATACCCTTCATTTTTAGTTTTTTGTAATTTTAAAATAAATTCACCATTTGATATATTTCTTGTAAAATATCTATTTCATAAAGATTTTTTGTGCGATAATTTGAATATTTCAAATCATAAGAAATCGTTTTTGGAAGCCCAATGCTTTTGATTGATGAAATTTTCATATAAAGTTAAAACATTACGATATATTTGTACTGTAATGAGTTTTGTTTTTGCTCAATAATCTTTACACCAAACTGTTTTTTCCAGATCTATCTCATTGAAAAACAGTACAAATGTTAACAGTATATCTTAAATTTATCATTATTAATATCAGATGAAGATTTACATTAATTTTTATTTTAATATTAAAGTTAAAATTCTATTTGGAATGCATAAATGAGAAGTTTATATGAAAGTAAAATGATTCTACGCCGATTTGGCCGCTTGCAGGCTATTTTATTACATAAAAAATTATAATAAGTTCAAAATACGTAATATTTTTTATTCATTGCCTTCATTCATGCGAATAACCATGGCGTCAGCAAGCTTTGGAACAAACCACGTTGACTTTGGTGGCATCATCTGTCCTTCATCAGAAACGTCGAAGAGCTGAGACATTTCGACAGGTGGAACAGCGATAGCGAGCATATCATCTGTCTTGACTGCTTCCTCGAGTGCATGAAGGCCTCTTGTGCCTCCAATGAACTTAATACGAGGATCGTTACGTAAATCGTGAATTCCGAAGATTGGTGTAAGGCAGAAGTCAGTAAGGATCTTGGAATCGATGTTGTCGGCAGCAGACTCTGAAAGGGCCTTAGCTACAAACTCCATTCTGTACCATTTCTTGTGGATGTAGAGAGAAAAGACTTTGTGCTCTGTTGGACGTGCGTGGTGGGCTGGAAGGAAGTCTGGTGTGTTTGGTTTCTCTTCGCCTGTCATCTGTGTAAGTTTGAATCCATGTTCTTCCAATTTCTTGAAGAGTTCTTCTTCAGAAAGCTTGTTCTGCTTGATGACACGGTTGTAGTCGATAACGCAGAGCTCATCATCGGAGAAAATGCAGGCCATGAAGTAGCAATATGGCTCTGTTCCTGTGTATTTGTCGCCAGCGGCCGCTTTGTGCTCTTTCCAGACATTGCAAGCGGATGCAGCGCGGTGGTGGCCATCAGCGATGTAAAGATGTGGTACTTGGGCGAATAATTCTTCAATCTTCTTGACTTGCTCGGCATCGTCAACGAACCAGAGCTCGTGATCTGTATTATCGAAATCAAGATGGGCGGCGCGGTCAGCTGGTCTCTCTGTAAGCTTCTTGACGTAGTCACGAAGTTCTGGGTGGTTATTTCCACGATATGCGAGGAAAACGGAGCCAACGTTGGCGTTTTGGATCCTTACGGTCTTTGTACGATCCTCCTCTGGAGCCTTACGTGTATGTTCGTGTTTCTTGATGAGGCCTTTCTCGTATTGCTCGCAAGAGACAAGTGCATAGAGGCCAGTTTGAGAATGGCCGCCAAGTTCTGCACGATAAGCATAAAATCCTGGCTTGTCAGCACGAACAAGAAGCTGATCTTTGATCCATTTCTGAAGGTTTTCAGCACCTTTCTGGTATACGCAGTCCTCTGTTGCGTCAACACCTGGGAAGGCGATTTCAGGACGATTAATGTGAATTACGCAATTTGGACGTTCCTTGCCCATTTTAGCGGCTTCTTCACGTGTAACGACATCATATGGTGGAGCGATAACTTCGCTTATTTTATCTGCTGGTGGAATGTATCCTCGGAATGGCTTTACAATGATTCCTGATGAAGACATTTAGGGTGAACTCAATTCTGCTAACCGTTTCTCTCATCGTTTTCTTAAAAACAATTTCACTTAAATTTAAATAATAGTTTTGATTGAATGAATAATGTTCAACTTAACGATGTCTTTTGATGTTTTTTGTGAGATTTACACTCCACAATTTGGAGATTTGAGTCTCCTTGAAATTTGTATTCTTTAATCTCACGAACTGATAACAATTTTATCAAATATTTGTAATGTAAACCCATTCAAAATAATAACTTAGCTTTTGACAATTTTTTAAATGACAATTGAATCAGAATTAATATTTTGGCTGCATTCGAATAATGAATTCAATTTCATCAAAATAAAATTCTTACGTTGACAGATTTCGCCTAAAATTTTCAATCAAATTTGGCGATAGAGTTAGTAGATCTAGGGATTTGGAGTGGATATGATGTTGCTTGTCAACCAATATAGCTAATATCAATTTAAAACATCCTATTATAAGGCAAGATTTTCAAGAATTAAATCACAATTCAGGGTTAATTGATAGTTAAATGGAATTTGGAATGACATATCGAATTTCGTTGCTTTTCTTATAGACGCTAATATATTATTGATCGATTAAGAATAAAGATAAAAAATAATAAATTTATCCTTTGGTATATTGATAGCTTAAGTAAAAGTTTTGATTATTTTACTATGAATACTTTGATTTTCCCAAAGAATAATGTTATCTTAGTGTAAAAAATTTTAGAAAGCAAGTTCCCCGATGATTATTTTCAATTCAATTTTCCAGCAGAGATGAATTAATGAGTAAAAATGGAGTAAGCGAGCCAGAGATTCAGGATTTGCTTAATCCGAAGAAAGGAGTAGAGATTACAGTCAAGAAGAAACCCAGAAAGAGAAGTAGAATGACAAAGAAAAAGCGCGAATTCCTCAAAAAACTCGCAACAAAGATAAAAAAGCCGAAAGAATACACAGTAGATGAAGAAATGACCTCACTAGGTATTCCACCCTTCCTACAACATGCATATCTAAACGGTATTCCTCAGCCATCCATCACAAAGCTCAGAGATTGGCAAATCGAATTATGCAAAGACGAGAACTGGAGACAAGGCAAGAACACTGTATTATTAGTACCTACATCAGGTGGTAAGACAGTAGCAGCAGATTTAGCTGTAGCTCAAGTTCTTCAAGAAAATAAAAATTCAAAAGTCATTTATACATTGCCATTCGTTGCCTTAGCGAACGAGAAGTACACAGAGTACGAGAAAAGGTTCTTCGAATACCAAGTCCGCCCTTTCTACCAAAATATCGGTGGATCAGATTTCAGAAGAGGAAACATCGCAATTTGTACATATGAAAAAGCCCATGCCTTATTAAATTCTGCCATCCAAGGCGGTTATTCCCATTCAATTAAATTAATAATTATTGATGAAGTGCATATGATAGGCGAAGAAGGGAGAGGATCAGTTATAGAAGCATTGATACTCAAAGCAAAACTAATGAATGATAAACCAAGGTTGATTACGTTGACAGCAACAATTAATGAATCAGATTGTCAAAAATTAGCGAATTGGATTGATGGAAACACATTTATTTGGAGAACAAGACCTACACCAATCAAGCAGATCATTAAGAAACAGGATGGTTCGTTGAATTTAATAACAAATGAAGGAAATCTTCAAAAAATTTTGACAATAAAAAGTTCGAATGATGACAAAGACCATTTAATGCCATTAATAAGGACATTGTTGAGTAAGAAACCTGATTCCTCAGTTATTGTATTCGTAAACACACGGAATGATACAATAAACATATCGAATTTGATTTCGAAATACATGTACAATGATAAAATAAATTTACCAAAATTGAAACAACCATCAGAAGAACTGATAAACAGAAGGAATAAACTTATAAAAGATTTAGCAGCAAACAGTGGAATTATTGATGAAAACACTGCTAATTGTATTAAATCAGGAGTTTTGTTTCATCACGGTGGATTGTTGATGGAAGATAGAAAACTCATTGAAGAAGCAGCGAGAAATAAAACAATCAATGTTTTAGTTGCAACAACAACTTTGTCTGCAGGAGTAAATATTCATGGTGTTGCAAGAGTTATTATTCATAATATATATAGATACAACCAGAAAAAGAAACAACTGATGCCGGCAAGTCAGTACACACAAATGGTTGGAAGAGCTGGAAGAAGTGGTCTTCCTGGAGAAGCATTCATCTGCATGAAATCAAATAATCAAAGTGAAATTAATGATATTTTGAATCTGTCAAAAAATAAAATTCCTGATATTGTTCCGCATCTTTTGGATGGAGAATCTACTGATAAGTTCTTTCTCCAGTGTCTAGCAATTAAACTACTGAGACCAGACAATGGTTTGAGAACATTTGTCGAAAACTGTTTCACTTTCGCTTCTTCAAACAAAGAAGAAATGGATTTCCTGTCTAAATTTGACCAAAATCAAAATGAAAATGGAAATTCTCTTGATGAAAATGGAATAATTCTTGATAAGAATGGAAAGATTAGTTATATAAATGAGAAAAATGATTTGGAAAATCAAAATGTTCTTGTTGGAAATGGAGAGAATGATATTAGAAATGAACATTCAAATGAAAGTTTCGAATGTTTAAATGATAGATTTGATGCAGAAAATGGGAAAAATGAAGTTGAAAATGAGAGTTTAGAGAAAAATGGAGATGATTCAATGGATAATATGGATTTTTTGGCAATGATAGATAATGAGAATGGGAATAATGGTATAAATGATGAAAGAGATGAAAATTCTCATGAAAATAAGGAAAATTTTAATGTTTTTCAAAATAATATTGAAAATAATTCTTCAAAAACAGAAGAAAATCAAGCTAAAATTGAAAGTTTTAATGGTGACATTGAAATTGATTCTAATTCTAAGGATTTTAATGGAGATCGAAATCAAAATTCTGAAATTTTGTCTGACATCAATAAAAGTGACAGAATTGATGTAATGAATGAAGAAAATGATGAATTTCGAATTAAAAATGAAGAAAGAATGTCAAAAATCGATGAATTGTGTCAAATTATCGGCAAAAGAATGAAAGAGGACGAATTGATAGATGATGACATGAAGGTCACCAAGTTTGGGATGGCTGTAGCTGGTAGTTCTCTTTCTGTTGAAGAAGGAAAAATTTTGAAAAAAATTATTTCGAAAACCGAAGAAAATCTTTGTATTTCCGATGAGATACATTTATTATCTCTTTGTATTTCCCCTCTTTCTGTATCTAATTCGGTGAAATCTCTTCCATATGACTCTCCTATTTTGATAAGAATATTTTCGCAGCACAGGCATGTAATAAAAGTCGTAACCGGAATGAACGATGCCCAAATCGAACACATGCAGGACTTAGTAAAGATTTATGGAGGAAATGGACGAATAAATCCTGCAATTGACAGTGATTTGGACAGAATATTTGCAGCAGTGATACTTAAGGAGCTGATTAATGAAGTTCCGATGAAAGAAATTTCGAAAATGTTCCAAATTGATTTTGGATCGATACAAAAGCTTCAAATGGAAGCAGCTACGTACGCAGGACAGATAAATAGGTTCTGCGAGATAACTGGTTCGGTTGTTTTGGCTGGAGCTCTGAATAAATTCCGTCAAAGACTGAATTTTGCTGCGAGAACTGATTTACTGGCTTTGATGTCGATTCCAAGCTGTTCTAGAGATACAGCAAGAAAACTGGTTGACAAAGGTATAAATACCCCGATAGATCTTGCAAATCTCTCTGTAAATCAAATTGCAGGGTTACTTGTAAATGAGGGGGAAACACCTGATGAATATTTATTTGGAATTTCAAAGAAATTGCTGTCTGACGCCACTGTTTTCGCTCAGAGCCTTGAGAAGATCGAAGAACTTGAGGATAAGGCTGTATTGAACTATCAATGAATGTTTTGTTTTTTGTTATTTTGTTTTTATATAAAAAATTATATTGTTTTTTTTTAAATCTATTTACGGATATTTTTGATATAATCAAGATTTTTGAGTTATGTGCGCATTTATTTAATACTCTATCTCCCAAAAAAATAAAAGTTTAATTAATTACTGTATGATTGTATTTGCTTGTGTTATCTACTATAATATAATTTTGTTCATTGGGTTATGTCATAGGCATAAGCATTTTAATGGAAATATATGTTTTAAATATTCATTCTTCATAAATTAGTTCTGTTTGAAGTGGAATTGCCATAGTCATGATCAACAATATAGAAACTTAAACAGACAATAATATATTATATACTTTACTCTATCTCTATTACAAACAATAATATAAAAATATAATATGATATAATATGTGTCCATTCCCCAGATTTGAGGAATGAACATTCTCAGATTTATAGCACTCTCATGATGTTCACTGAGAATGCACGAAAGGCAACTCTGCGGATATCGTTGTAATAAGGAACTTTTGAGCATCTCACTGCCAACTGATTTTCTGTTGGAGAAAATGAGTATGATTTGATTCTGATGGCTTTGATTGATGCGTACTTATCTGAGAAATAATCTGGTGAAACAAGTATCTGAGTGTCATTAAGTCTATGCAATTCAAATTCAGTTTGTCTTGGGCATTGATTAGTTGTGCCGAAATAGTAAACAGTAGGATGAATGGAGCTGAACGCGTTAACATATAAAGTTACGTGTTCATATATAGCAATGTCTTTGATGTTGTCACAAAGAGCAAATGCGTCAGGCATAATTACAGCTTCATCAAATATCTCAATTCTGCTGAGATTTGTACAATTCACGAATGCATTTCCATAAACAGTTGAACGTGAATTAATGGTTAAACTTTTGATGCCACATGAACAAAAAATAAAAGGACTAATAATAGTAATGGAACTAGGAATATAAATATAATCTATTGTGGTACAACCAGAGAAACAACCTTCCCCAATTGTTGTGGTCTTTGGTGGAAAATCTGCAAACTTCAATGTAAGACAGTTTGCAAAGCAACTAGGACCAACTGTTGTCAATGTTGGTGGGAAAATGACTTCTTTCAGTGAATGGCAGTCTTTGAATGCATTATCAGGAAGCGAAGTTAAGTCGAAACAACAAGAAAAATTAACTATTGGATTATTGTATTTAGTGCTCAGTATATCTCCGATCTGTTGGAGTGATGTGCATCCTTCGAAGCATGAAATTGGAAGAGTTTTGATCTTTGGCATTTCACCAATTTTCTTCAATGATACACACCTTAGGAAACAGTATTTATCAATGGAAGTAACTTGAGGCAGATCACCAATTTGTTCAAGGGAAGTACATCCTTGAAAACAATATTTATTAAAAGTAGTAACTTGAGGCATGTTGATAATTTGTTGAAGGGAAGTACAATCTTGGAAAACATTATCTGCTAAGGTCTTTAAAGATGAAAAATCATTGATTCTTTGGAGTTTGGTACACCCTTTAAATGCTTCCCTATCTATTGTTGAAAGTGAAGTATGTGATAGAAAAGTAACATTGACAAGATTTATACATCCTTCGAAAGCCTGACTTCCAATAGAAGAAATTGTACTTGGAATAATAACTTCGTTAATGCATTGATTATTTTTAAATGCCTGTCCAAGGATGCTTGTAACGCTTTTATCAAGAAATGTTGACTTGATTTCTACTGAAATGGGGCAATCTGGAGATACAAGTCCTTCAACAAATGATGAGTATCCGTTGCTAGTGTAGTTAATGTAATCAATGTATGTAATTCTTGCATATCCATCCCCTGCATGTCCTGTTGTCTTAGTCCCATCAGGATTTGTTATATCTTGCGATCCATCAATTGTTTGGGCACTGGTCAAATAGTATTTTGAGCCAATATTGTATCCATTAGGATGCTGACTTTGAGTTGATGATGTGTAGACATAACCGCTACCACCACTTCCTCCAGAGCTTGGACGATCATAAGCGTGTCCAGATACAATAAGTGTACCTCCGCCATACCACCCGCCGCCACCAGCTCCTATACATCCGTAATCACTTGTATTTCCTCCATAAAATTGCTGAAAGCGATATTCATTACTAGAATAAGAATTAGATCTTTGATCATCTTGTCCTGCTCCATAGCTACCACCTCCTCTTAGCCCGCCTCCATAGCCGCCGGACGTCTTATAACCCGTACCAGCACCGCCTCCGCCTTCAGCCACAATAATTCTATAACTTATTGAATCAGCTATAACCCTTATATCAGTCTCACCGCCACCACTATATCCGGGTTGGTGAATAGTACTATCATACCGATTACTGCCTCCATATGCAAAGCCTCCTCCATTAGAACCGCCTTCTGCTTTATAATAGTCATTAGGAGCTTTTCCCATTCCACCAACTCTGACAAAGAGAGTTGTTTCTTGCGATAGAGCTAGGTAGCCAATAGAATAGCCTCCTTTGCCGCCACAGTTATCGGAATTAGAACTGTAGCCACCACCCTGGGCACCCCAAACTTCAAGCTTATATAATCCAGGAGTGAGTTTTTGTGATTCTGGTCTCCCAGTATATTTAAAGTCATATTTAGCCTCAAAGAGAGCAAAAACAAAATAATACAACATTGGTAATGCAAGTGTACTTTTCGAGTTATGCTAGAGGATATTTAAACAAACATCAAAATAATATTTTCGATAAATCGTTAAATTCTTAGAATAGTGTTATATTTTCTATTGGATATATGTTATATTTGGTTTATGTTCATACTACTTTATAAAGGATAATGACTCAGGTCATTAGTAACAAAATCAAAAAAATAAAATATTTACCATCAAGATGTCATTGATATACTATGATTGGAGATTTGTGCTGTAATGGTGATCAGAGTATAAAGAGATAAGATAAAACTCATTCACAAATGATCGTATTTTGAAAATTTTTTCTTTTCGAAATGCGTTGCAAAACATACGTTTAACTGTATTCAAGGAAGCACGTCATGTTGTATTAATGGAAATTAGAAAAGCGAACAAAGTGTAAATTATTGATTTTAGCATGGGCATATTTACTGATCGCATTTAACAAGTATTTTTATACATTTTTTTGAATTATTATTTCCAAATTATAACATTTTAGTAAGTTGGAATATATCTAAAACCTTTGGTTGCCTTCCAATAGCTTTCTTGTTCCTTAATTGTCTGATTTCTCATTGAAGCAAGTAATTGATTTTGACGTTTGAGTGATTTCATTGAAACTTGCTGCGAATCATTTAACATCTTTTGTAATAGGGAGCAAACTTCCCTATTATGCCTTCTATTCATCTTTTCTTCCAAGCGGCGATACGTTTCTTTGCAAGCTTCGAGTCTAATTGGTAATTCTTGTTCTGTAATTGATATAGCTTCCTCTCTAATCTTTTTCGCTAATTCATAGTCGCCTGTTTTTCCAATTAAAATTGCTTTTTTCAATCTCTCGCGTGCTAATGGTATTGGACGATCTTTTTCTCTTTTGAGAGTTTGTTTTCTTTCTTCCTTTAACTGTTGTATTTCTTGAAGTTGTCTTTCTTTAAGTTCATTTAATAAATCTCTATAATGAAGCTGAATCGCTTTGGATTCTTCTTCTAATCGGCTTGATTCTCCAATAGATTTTAATTTTATCTTATCCTTTTGTCTCTGGATCCTAATAACGTCTGAAAAATCTGGTCGATACTTTTTAATATAATATTTTTTGATCTCCTCGTCAATCATTTGGGCACGCTCGAAATCAAGCTGCTCGTTTGCTTCCCTACGTTGCTTCTTTAAGCGTTTGATTTTGGCGCCTTTTTTCATTGTAAATTTACAACTATTCAATTATTTTTATTTATCATTTGAGGGGTTTACACCCGCACTCACATTTTTTCATAGATGTTTTTGTTTTTATGTTTCGGAAGGGTTTCATGTTCATTTAATTTGACACAAGAAAACTACACACAATACATGGAATCTCCAGATAGAAAACCAGTCCTTATCAAGTTCTGGGCAACATGGTGCAATCATTGCAAAGAATTTGCTCCGTATTGGGACGAATTTGTAGCTGAAGATCATGATTTCGATGTTGCTCAAGTTGAGTGCGCTAGCAATCCAGAAATATGCAAGAATTTCGGTAGAAATGGTTATCCAGCAGTTATGTGGTTCAATCCAGGCGACAAGAGAGGCGTTAAATGGGTTGTTGTCCATAACGTACGCCAGCTCGATAACTTCTGTTTGAAGATGAAGCATTTTCCGATCCGAATTATTACTTTAGATGATATTGACAGCATGAAGGAGGTTGTTGTTTCCACCAAATTCCTTCTTGTTACAAACAGCCAAGAATCACGCGAGTTCCAGCAATTGAAGGCCATCGCAGAAGACTATAAGCATTTTAGTACAGAATTTTACGCCATCATCACAGACAACTATACTACATCCCTTCAGGCATTTACCGCTAACTCCGCTGAGCAGATGTATTCAGGCGATTACTCAAATGAATCTTTGACAGAGTTCATTCATATGCATTTGTTCCCATTCCTTTCATATTACGTACCAGAAATTGCTCATTTCCACTACTACTACAACATGACCTCTCTTATTGTCTTCGCTCAGAAGAAATTCTCCAAGACAACAATAGAAACAGCTTCCAAGATTTCCAAGTATTTCCCAGCCCACGTAATTTCATGCAACAGAAATCCTTACATTTGCAGATACGTTTTCGTCGGTCCAAAGACTCGTTACATGATTTACGATCAAAGAAACTTCAAATACTGGATGCATGACGAAGGCGAACAGGAAACAGTATTAGAATGGGTTGATGATGTCCGTAACAACAGAATTCCTTATTCCGGACCAGGAAATGGAACATTCTCATTCGTATGGCAGAAGATCCATCATATTTATGCTGCGGAGTTGTTAGTTCCAATCCTTCTTGGCTTATCCATCCTCGGTATCATCGTAATTGTCATTCTTATCATTAAAATTATCAGATTATCCAAGAAGCAGAAAGAAATGCGCCAGGCAAGGCTTTTGAAGAAGCAACAGGCTGCTGCTGCTCAGAAGAAGGATGGCGAAGAGAAGAAGGACGAAAAAGAAAAGAAATCTGACGAAGGTGAGCCAACAAAGCTCAAAGAAGATTAAATTATCATAAATGTAATAAACAGAAATTCATCAAAAGTGACAGCTCTCAATTTTTTGACATTTGTAAATTCTAAATTGAATGAGAAAAATGAAATAATACTAAGCATAATACAATATTCTAGATTTAATTATAATTAGGAAAAAGTTAGTTTTGAGAGTACTTTTCATAGGCATATAGAATGAAATCTTCTGAAAAATAATATCACATAAACTCATATTATTTTCTAATATATAACTATTTTATATAAAAATCAAATTCAAGGATCTTAAAAGCGAATGATAAACCTCAAAATTTACGAATATAATGAGTGGGAATATAATGCTTATCTATCATAAAACCATATGAAATATCAATTTTTGCTTTACGCCTAATTTTTGACGACAATTAGCAAAAAATGTTAAATGTTAACACTCAGTCCATTTGAATATGAAAAATAAAATTGACTTTGATTAAATGTTTTTATTTATCATGCAATTCTTCTTGCGACCAAGATTTGAATAAAAGTTCAAAAAATAAGATAGCTTAAAAAATAATATACGGTAGTGTTTACTAATAGATGAATAGTATATAAATTCTATTAAAATGGATTTGATCCAAAAAAATATATAAAATTTGATCATAAATAAAATCGTTTGAAATTACTTCTTCATTTAAATTATAACAATTATTTTTGGTTTTATATTTTTTTGGATCAAATCCATTTTAATAGAATTTATATACTATTCATCTATTAGTAAACACTACCGTATATTATTTTTTAAGCTATCTTATTTTTTGAACTTTTATTCAAATCTTTGGTCGCAAGAAGAATTGCATGATAAATAAAAACATTTAATCAAAGTCAATTTTATTTTTCATATTCAAATGGACTGAGTGTTAACATTTAACATTTTTTGCTAATTGTCGTCAAAAATTAGGCGTAAAGCAAAAATTGATATTTCATATGGTTTTATGATAGATAAGCATTATATTCCCACTCATTATATTCGTAAATTTTGAGGTTTATCATTCGCTTTTAAGATCCTTGAATTTGATTTTTATATAAAATAGTTATATATTAGAAAATAATATGAGTTTATGTGATATTATTTTTCAGAAGATTTTGTGTTCTTCTTCAAAATTTTATTTTTTTATTAAAAAGAATCTTTACAAAATATACATTTACTTTAATTAATATTTAAAAACGTGCTCTATCAAAAGTTCCAAAAATTCAATATTTTAGCTTTTCTGAGGTGTCACTTTTGATGAATTTCTGTTTACAACATAAACACATTAATCATAGAAAAATGTTTTTCCTTTTTTACATTTTTATGAAAAACACAAAATAATTTAATAAATTTTGGTTTAAAATACCAATAATGAATAAAAATCATGTCAAATGTAAACGCAATTAAAGTGTAGAACCTTACATGAAGTCGAAGCAATCAATAATCCGGTAAAATATTATAATTGATTAAATTTTACAGGAAATAGCGATGTTTGCCTTATTGTTTAATGAAAATCTCATTATATTTGCTTAATGAAGCATAATGCATCACAGTCATTGGCATTATATATGTTTACAAAACAATGTAAGATTTTCTTGTTTTTTGATCAGAGTTCGCATTTCCTATTATAATTATTATGCTTATTATAATGATAAATGAGTTTTAATTGTCTAATAGACCGTGAGTATACAATTCAAATTGGAAAGAGTTTTTGATAGTATGAAACGAACACAGCTGATATAGATGCACATACATCATGCAACTGAATAGCGTAAACAATACAGGAATATAGATTAAATGATGGGCTCAAATCAATTTGAAAACTTTCCCGATAATTGATGCTATTTTTTGATGATATAAGCTTTAGAACACTATTTTCATTATATTGTTAATAATACATTTGAGAAATATCGAATGAAATCTAATCCTCCAGAAAAATAAAATAATAATTATTAACATCCATAGAAACAAACTGTTTATCACATACCCTATACATATTATGATAATTTTTAATGATTTGAATAACAATTACATTTGTAAATTTTAAGGGTCCACTGTAAGGCCAAATAAGGTCTATCGTCGTCCCAAAAATATTGCTCGAGATGGTGTTTTACTAAGGCCCAAAACTTAAAAAAACACAAAAAAATTAACTTTACTCTTTTGAGATCCTTATCAGATGTGCAACAATTTGATGCAGTATCGCAGTTCAAATCTGATTTTTTAATGTAGATGTACTCTAACATCCTTTAAAAAATGCAAAATGATATTAATTAAGCTTTTCATTTCTGTATCATACACGAAACAAAATCGTTCATTATACTAAAATTTATCAAAGTTTGATTAATGAAAAAATAATATCTAAATTTTTACATTGAGTCGGCTATTGATATGGTTAATATTAAATCTTGTAAAAATTGGCATTATCCAGAATAATACCCACTAAAATACACAATTTTTTTAAAAAAAATTTTATCAATTGTTATGGTATATCTTTATGATAATGAATAAAATGCTTATTTTTCATAAGTAAATACATAATTTATGCTTAAACACAAAAAATAACACGAAAATTTTTGGCCAACATATCTAAACTAAGGATAATGGTTTGAATATATAAACAATAATACTTTGTCCAGGGAATTAAATTTGTGCTATCCAATTGTCAATTCTTTGAATTTTTTTTAAATGCAAGATATCCCGGCATTAGCCTCAATAAATATATATATTATGCATCATAATATTAGTTTGTAATGGCATTAAAGCGAAATTCCTAATTTCTTCTCAATTAAATTCCTTGAAAAACATTGGAATTAATGATTGGAAATAGGTCAAAAAAATTCCTAATATAAAACTTATACTTAAGATAAAATTAAAATTCGAAAATATCTATTTTTCAAAACACGCATCCAAAAGCGAAAAAATTCGAAAAAATCATGTTCTTATAAAACTCACTGATTTTGCAATTTTTATGAGATTTGAAGTGATAGAATATATTACCATCTTATTAAAACATATGCTTCATTGTTGTATTCACATAATATTAATCAGAACACTAGGAAAAGTGGATTTTCGAAAGATGACGATAACGATTATTTGCAAATTGCCTCTCAATTTTGAGAGACTTTCAATTTTTACAGTGGACCCTTAAATATCAATATTTATCAAGTTTTGTTTTGGATATATATATAAATCTGTTTATATAGTGTATTCCATCAAACTCAGAAGATCATAAGAACAACAAAATTCACCAAATTGATGGAATTATTTTCTTGATACAAAAATGATGAGCTATAGTACCTCATTAATTAGAGATGATGACCAATCAACAAAGGAAAAAATTTTGACCATTCTGAAAAAAAGAGTGTGTGATTTTGCTCTGAATTATTTTTCCATGAAACAAGATCATTTTTATACATTCTTTATAATATGCATAATGATAAAAAGTCGAAATTCAGTGTCATCCTTTGAAAATTGAATTTGAATGATGTCAAAAACTATGGAATTTGTTCATCAATATTTTTATGAGATTTTAAAACATCGTAATAATTTCGAGCTGTAATTGCATTTTAATAATCAAACTGATAGTCGGAAAAAAATAAAAAAAATTCAATGAAAATTATCAATTCGAAGGAATGAAAATCTTCATGTATTAATGATTTGCTATATGTTTGTATTTATTATCCCTAATTCAACCGCAAAATGCATTCAATTTGAAACCAATGAAGTTGCTCGTAAAGTTAAGAAAATTTTATCAATTTTGCCAAAAGATTTAGATCAAAAATTCATGCAGTCATCCGAAGCAATTGACACTGAACCAAAAACCATTTCTCCCGTTCCCGAGGGGCGTCCTGTACTTGTATTAGATCTTGATGAAACATGCATTTATTCTACACCAGCTAAACCAGAAAAACAACAAAATTTTCCAATCAGAATTAAGAGAAGGAATGTTTTTATTCAAGTAAGACCAGGAATGCAAGAGTGTATTCGCAGATTATCCGAAAAATATGAAATTTTCTTTTACACAGCATCGACTAAAATATATGCCAACAAAGTTATCGACGCCATTGCTCCATTTGTTGATAATGAACATCGTTTCTTTGTTTCTCGCGATCAATTGAAAGATTTAACTCTTATTAATCGTCCACTTGGAAAAGTCCTTCTTTTGGACAACTCTGCATGCAGTGCTCAGAAAAATAACTTACTTCTCATAAAAACATGGATCGGCGATCCAAACGATAACGCATTTACAAATGAAGTCATGCCACTCCTCGACAATCTTGTTAAGGAGAGTGACATTCCATCTGCTTGCCGTAACCTTGTATCTTCAAGAAGATATCCATCCTTATACGTAATTAGAAGCTGAGATATTTTGTTTTTTCCTTTGTTTTTGTTGCATTTCTTATTTATATCTCGATAATATCTTTTTAGCCTGTAGGTAAACTGTTTGTATCTTTTATCCGATTTTAAATTCTGACATATTTTTTTTCGACTTTGTTGTGAGGCGATTGCAACATAATGCCAAAAAATATCAGCATTGATACTGACTGGATACTATCCATATCATTAGCAAGGCCCAATTCAATAGCTGATTCCCAATAATTGATTGATCACCAACAAATAGTCATTTCAGAATAAAATACGATATTCAATAACTATATATTTTATGTAAAAAATACAGCCTTATATTGTTGGCAATTTAGGCAAAATCAATGACAAGATCCTACACTAATGTCCATTTTTCAAATGATTATTGACTCAAAAGTTTAATAATTCGATTGTAAATGTATATTAATATCATTTTATTGTATGATGTTAAAATGAAACTTATTTCATCACTTTGGATTTAGAGAATTACTTTTCATACTGATTTTTTATAACAAATATAGTTTAACCAAAAGTTAAATAGCATATACTTTTGAGATGAATCTTGAACTACCAGGAAATTATAAGGATATTAATTTTTCTCAAATTATCAATTGATTTTTGAGGTAAAAATATAGTACTTCAAACTAGAGATAATTATATAACACATTTATAATTCCAAAATTTTTTTAAATTTCTTTTTTTAATAGAAAATTTGTATTTTTTCTATTCGTTTTTAAAATTTTGAATTTTTTTTGGATATATTTTTATGTAAATCAAACAAATTTACATTGATATTGATAATAAGATAGGCTATTTATTTCAAATTCTTTTACAAATTTTGCCGAATTACGTATTTTTCACTTTTATCTGGAATTATTTTGTAAACGAAGGCATATTTGATGTTCCTCTAAGTGATATTCTACTTAACCAATCCAATAATATCAAACGATCGCTATAACAAACATTATTATCAATATTTTGAATCAATATTAAGTTAATAATCTTTATGTCTCTATCTAAATGATTAACCGACTACTGTAATAAATTTTATTAAAGCATGTATGTTATAATTAATATAGATGAGCATGTTTTTTTGAGAGTATTAGGTAAATTTTCTAATTTCAAATATAATTATCGAGTTTTGTCATTGATTTCAAGCATATAAGTCACTTAAAACATTATTAATATATATTCAGCATCAAAAACAAATTTCCATGGAGTTGATTTTCTTATTCCTAATTTTAGGTAAATATTACATGTTATTAGGTTCTTATCAGAATATTATATTTGCTCAAATATTCAATGAAATTTTCAATTTCAATTGAAAAAAATTTTATAACAACAAAATTTTTTTTATATAAAATCATAAATGAACAAAATTACTAAACCGAATGTTAATAAACTAACAAGATTTAACTCTAAGCCACCAACTAGACCTCCAAGGAGAGTTATTCCCAAAGCCGAACTCGGTCTTACTGTTGATCTGACTTTCAATTGGTCTCGAAAATTTGGTCATCGTGATGGAGATTTAGTTATCAAAGGTAGCAAATCATTTGAAGAGATGCCACAAAATGAATACGCTAAGCTATTTTTGCATAAATGCAAGGAGTGTTCAAAATTGTGCGATTTTTCTGATGCAAACATTGATGGAAAAGCAAAAGTTACAAAATCAATTCTCTTGAAACATCTCACACAATGCTTTTCCATGGTTGGGTTTATGAAAATCCTCACTGCAGAAATGATGACAGAATTCTACAAGATGGTTTCTACAAATCTGTTTCGTGCCTTACCACGATATCCAGAAGCAGTTCCTGTCGATGCTAAAGTGTCTTTCTATGATAATTCGTGGCCACATTTATCTTTAGTTTATCAAGTCCTTAATGCATCTCTTTCCTCTCATTTTGCAGCAAACATTACACCTACATTCATTTACAAGATAATCTCTAATGGATTGTCAATTGATCCATCCGAAAGAGTCGCGGTAAGAGATTTTCTTCATTCTTACTATTCTCGCTTCATGGGCCAACGTGTCATGATCAGAACTGACATATTTGGCTTATTCTCCATGGGCCAGGCTTCGCTAGAGCTCTTAGATTTCTTCTCAAGCATTGTTCAGGGATTTAATCCTCCTTTGAAGGCAGACCATGTTAAATTCTTTAACCAAGCTTTACTTCCGTTATATACATACTCAGAATTGAATCGTTATAGCAAAGCATTGACTTCTTGCGTTTGCAAATTCTGCGAGAAGAATTTCAACTTAATATCAGTAGCATTCGACTATTTATACAAACACTGGCCTCTACAAGACTCAAAGAAGCAAAAGATTTACATTGACTCCGTAAAAATCATCTTATTTTCTTTCGACAAATTCAGCGACACTTCTCTCAGGAGAGCCTTCGCAATTCTTGCAGAAGGAGTTAGAAGTGACAACGTCGACGTCGCAGAAATAGCTCTTGATACTTTATTGGCAGAAAATTTAGTTCTCGTTTACAAACAGAATCCACGCCTTATTTTTACAACAATATTCGAAAAACTCTACAAATCAGCCAAATCTCACTGGGATGAGGACATTAAAACGGATTCAATCGCTGCATTACAAATTTTAAGCGAAATTGATCCGAATATCTTTGGTGAACTGAACAACGCTCATAAAGATAAGAAGAATACAAAGAAGGCACCAGTTAAAGAAGCTTCCGCATTGAAAACAAACTGGATGCAAGTTTTTAATCTCGCAAAGAAGAACGACCAAGCAATTAAGACTCTCCGCCTCGATACAGCTGTTATTCAATAAATATGTTTATTTTATTTGTTTGAAATGTAAAAAATATGAGATGTTTTTTTTTTTCATTTATTTCTGACTAATGTTTTGAAAATCCTAAATGAAATGATCTGTACATAATAGATTGCAAGTATTACATAAATAGATTTTAAAATTTTGGAGAGAAACAGGGTTGAAGAGCAAAGCGATAATTTTAGAAGATTTTCCGATCACGTTTACATATGATATCGACTTTCTATACTTTGTATCTTTCATTCGACTGTTAATGACCCAAAAGACGAAAAATTTTTTGATTCCACCTTAATTCTTTTAATATTATTTGATTTTTCCAATACGATTGCATAGAAATTCCAAGAAATTGCTTTTTCACAAATGTTGCTTCTGCTTCAGATGAAATTGAATATGAACTTATAAAAATATTTAATGAGAATCAATCCCGGCTCACTAAATTGATAATTGTTGACAAAATTTAATATAGGTATCATTAATTTATCAAAAACAATATATTTTATAACAAAATGCAATATATTTTATATAAAAATGAAATAAATATAATTCTCAAATGTGTTTCTTTGATTTATGACTAATAGTATTTGTTAATATTGTTTAATCCAATTTTTCTATTCCGGAATAACATTTACCGATATATTCATCAAATCATTTGAAGTCTCCATTTATGACAATAGTTATTCTATCCATTTGAACGAATCCAGACAAATCCTTACAGTTGGAAAGATATCGATTTTCTTTCAAAATATTCAAATTGAAAAAGTGCTTTTCTATGAGTTGTTAATTGAAATGAGACCACAATTCTTAAGCAAATAATGCAAAAAAGAACGAAAATCAGATCTATTTGAATGAGAATTGAATTAACTTTCAAAAGTGGAAGAAATTTTTAAAATTTGAAATACTAATTGAATTTCTGGTTAAAGTGTTCAATGGAATGCTTTACTTTCTTTTCGGGCTTTACTCAATCGGGATGGAATCAGGGAATCAGAATAGATACATGGGTTTAAAGGAACAGGATAATTCGCAATACACAACTTACGATTGCTTTTTTTCCAATTTTATTCATCCTTCAGTATATATAAATAATAATGCTATTACAGAGCCAATCAATTTGACTAAATGTACCTTCATTAATTTCAACATCTCTTCAAATGAGGCAGCTGGTGCCGTTTATATTACAGCCGGGATCAATTTATCCACTTCATTTATTATAGGAGAAAAGCTGTATTGTGGTATTATAGAAAAGGACGTAGGCATTTATGGACAGTTTGAATCTATCGATTCGGTTAATTTGAACTTTACATGCCTCATCGACAGTGGAAAAGGGAATGTCGGAACTAAAGGAATGAATTATCTTATTTCCAAACAAGTTAATTATGATAATGTGAATGTCACAAATATTAAAAGCGGTTATAGATCTCTTTATTTTTCCACATATCGTGGTACTTTCATAGGTTCAACATTGATATATTGTAATTTTTGCAATTTGACAGGTGGATCCATGATAACTAGCTATATAAGCCATAATTTTCAATATTGCAACTTAATCGATAACACTGGGGCAATTACCTCGAATCAACAACGGCGTTATGAATTTAGGAATTGTAATTTAGTCGCCCCAGATAACATGAGAGCTCATTCAATAGAAAATAGTGATAATCATGCAATAGGTTGCTATATAAATGAAGTTTTTTATAATAGAATTAATGGAGGTATTGAAATAATAAATTCACAAAACACATCCGTGGAATTTACATTTGTAGTTTTTGATCCTAATCAATTCAAAACAGCACCTCCAGTTACACCTCATATTACACCATTTCTGACAAATGAAATAACACCACGCCAAACTCCATTTGTTACTAATGATGCCACACCTGCTTTAACACCATTTATAACTATAGATAAAACTCCATTCCAAACGCCAATTTTAACAAATGCAATCACTCCTCATCAAACTCCATTTATCACCAATGAGATTACACCTGTTTTAACACCAATTGGTACTGAAGCAATAACCCCAAATTATACTCCTCAATTAACTCCATTTAGTACTATTGAAAAAACACCGCATATTACTCCATTTATGACTGAAGAAACAACTCCATATAAAACTCCATATCAAACTGCATCTGCAACAGCTGCCCCTGTAATAACTGAACCTATAAATGGCCCATACCTAGGCGCTAATGGAAATTATGGACATCTAAAGAGACAATATAGATATAGTGTCCATTAGTTTATATTATTATTTTGTTTGTTGTAAATTTAAATCATGTAATATAATAGAGCTCAGAATATATTAATAAGTATGATATACATTGAACAAAATATTCGATAATTAAGAAAACTTAATTTTTCTTAATATAGCCATGTCCATTAAATTCGAGATAGATCAAAAATTATCCTTGGATTACTGACTTGATCAGTCCTTTACTATACCATTATCAACTTTAAATAATAATAATATGTTCAATTGCCCACACTATTCAAATGAGCCCAGAACATTTGCTTTCTTGAATGACCACTTTTATGGCCATAAAGAAGAAGGAAAGCCAAAATAAATGCTTTCCCATAATGTTTGTGATTAGATATGGGATTGCTGCAATGAATATGATGAATTTGATAATCTACAAGCTATATACAACAAAGTTTGTTCAGTAGAATCACGTGAAACAATTTACACAAAGATTCGTGCCTACCTTCTTCTCATAAAAGAATGTGCCATTCGTATTCTGTTAATCTACCATGAAGATGAGTTCAAGTACTACATTCACAGGCAACATCTTAATTCTTGTAATATGCAAGTTACAAACACAGGAGCACCTTGATATGGAACAGTTATTGAGGAATTCAAGAGAACCAAAGCAACAGAGAGAACAATGCTCTGCGTAGGCAGCAAAACATATCCGATTGTACTAACACGATTTCAATTTACTCTTTTTTGAGATATTGCAAATCTGACACAACAACATTTTGGATGCTGATATATAAGTCCATCTATTTTATAATTTAGTAGTTCAATTTTATTCAATTTTTTAAAACTGCAATCTAGAAGATTTAAATAATACGATATTCATATACCATTGAAATATTTATAATTTATATGCATAATTCAGAAAGATAAGTGAAAAATAATTTTCGAATTTATTCCTGCAGATTATGATATACGATAATGGAAAAAACAACGACTAACCATTAGTTTTATGACATTGCTCCTATGTAGCTATTGGTTTCCATACCTTTCGACTATAATGAATGAATTCAATGTTTTGTTGCGTCGAATATCAATTGATTATGAATAAATTGTATTAAATTGATATGCATGTTCATATAATAAGGAAAACAAATTAAGATTATGCCAAAAATCTTAATTCGCGAGAAATCATCATGGTCATAAAACTTCTAAATGGCTAACAAGATGAAAATTGCATATGCAATGTATGACAGGATTGACATTTTATCAAAATATAATATAGGTACAAGGAATATATTGAGCCAATCTGATGGTCAGCAATTTACATATATAGATTATAATACAAGCTGCATTCAGGTTGGTGATGGTAAAAATCCATGCATTTCGGCAACATTAACAGGAACTTTTGAAGTTCCACCGCAAGTTAATTCAAAGGATGTAGTCTCAATCGGTGATTATGCGTTCAAAAACAGCAAAATTAGTAATATTAAACTCCCTGATACTATTCTATATATTGGAAGTTATGCATTCCTAGGTTCTAATATAACAGAATTCATTTGCCCAAAAAATGTAATTCAAATTAAAGACCAAGCTTTTGCATGGTGCGAATGCAGATTTGCTGATTTTAGCCAAGCAAAATTGCTGAGTTTTATTGGTTCTTATCATTTTAGCGGATCTAATATTACTAGTATTTTATTACCAGATTCTTTGCATACTATTTCTGTCCATATGTTTTTTTCATCAAAACTTAAAAGTGTTACAATTCCGAAGTCTTGTAAGGAAATTTTAAGCGGAGCATTTATCTGTTGCGCTTATTTAGAAACATTTAAATCCGAGAGCCCAGATTTTTGCGTTCATAATAACATTCTCTACAGTAAAGATTACAAAACTTTAGTTGCTTATCCTAGTAATTGTTACATTGACATTCTTCCTACAGTTAAGTATGTTTCAAGCGCAAGAGGTTTTTCTGGTTCTTCTCTTATCAATTTTACATTAAATGTTAAAATCATTTCATTTTCAAGTCATTCATTTCGATATTGCCCATATCTAGAATATGTTGACATAAGCTGCTCAAAAGCAGTTTCTATTGAAAACGCCATATTTCATGATTCCAATAAATTGAAAACTTTGATTTTGCCTCCTTTATTAACAAATATTGGTGTTTATGCTTTCTGTTATACAAATATAACAGAATTAGTTATCCCTCCGGGAGTACGCACTATAGCATCAAGTGCATTTGATGATACAAATATTACCGACATTTTTTATTGTGGAACTAATACTTTTGACACTATTTCCTTTGATAGAAATAACGTTAATGTACATGTTTCAGACTCTTTCCCAAAAAGTTCCACAAAATTTTTAGGTTGTGAAATTGTCGACAGAACTTATACATGCCAAGATTATATCTGTAGTAATTTCGTAGATCAATCATTTATGGATTGCCCTACAATGAATTTATGCTTCTATAATCACTTTTATTTTAATATTTTATAATATTCAGTTATGATAGTAATGTAAAATTATAATTTGATTAAAAACATAGATTTGCGAAGCATAGTATAACATTGAATTCTAGTTTGAAGATTTGAATGATCTAAAATTTCTTCTTGTGATGCTTGTAGTATCATTTGATTGACTTTAAATATTAAATATACCCAACAAACAAACTTCTAATGATTTAGATCATATAATAAAAAGGAGAAATTTGCACAATAAACACAATTTAATATTACCAAATGCAAGTTTTGATATCTTGCTATCTTCCAATTGCATTGAATATATTGATCAGATATTGCAACTTCAAATAATGCTTATATTGAGCAAATATAATATTTAAATGGGCAAATAATGCACATTTTCAAAATAAAATAAACATTTTTGAGCTTTTATGCACTTGAATTAAAGGATAGCATTTAAGAGAAAAGATTCTTAAATACCAATTTCCCACATTAATATATAATTAAGATCATTATAAATGAAAGAATTGCCAATATTAGCTCTTCAATAAGAGAATGTTATGAAATATCATCTTCTTAACAATAAATCAATATAAAAACTTTATTTATTTCAAAAAACAAACAAACAAAACTATATTTATTTTACTATTCTTTGATATTGAGTATATAACTTACAATACCTTCCATGTGCTGCATTGCGAATTTCCTGTGCACACTCTCTGTTTCGAAATCCTCAAACGATGCAGAAAACTTGAAACACTCAAGAATTTCATCAACTCCAAATGAAAAAGTTATTACAAGCAAAAGAGAGAACAATTGATCGAAATCTAGATCAGTAACAGATGGATCCATCTTCTTAACAATCCTTCCTATTCTTTCTATCGATTCCCAGAAGAAATCAGCGATGTTGAAAGGATCTGTTTCAATTAAAATCAAAAACAGGTCTTCGCTGACAATTCTGAACGGCCAATCCGTGGAATTAAGGACACGAAGCTCCATAGAGGCAAATGGCTCAGAAATATAAGGGGCATTAAAAGATTTTGGAGTTCTTGAGAAAACATTGGGGAAATGGAGCTGCGGAGTATCAGAGAATGGAAACATGATCTGTTCCCATGCAGTATTGAATAGAAATGTTCGAATTTCCGGATAAAATTTTTTGTTATTCGTAATTGCGTGAATAATAACATCTACATCGCTGTAATCCATTTCGTTAAGGTGTTGCTTGAATCTGGTAAGTATTTGGTAATATCTTGATTGAGGATTTTCAAAATGACGCATCCAGTCTTTATCTTCGACGGGAGAACTAGTTGATATCATCTTATCTAAGGCTGATATGATTCTAGTGTATTTATTTGTCGCAGGTTGAGTAAAAATATAATTCTTTCTAAAACCTTTAAAATCGAATTTAATGATCAAATTCTTGGCTATATCAGCGAAGTCTTGTATTTGCGCAATTCTTCTAATATTTCCTTGGCAAACTCTGGCTTCTGTTTGACTTTGTTTGATTTGATATCGAAGTTTAAGAATTGGGAGCATAGCAATGATCCTGTTCTGATTTATTTGTAGAGAAGTAACGTTTACTACTTTTGCTGATTCGTTTTTGATTTGATCAATTAAATTTTGCGTTTTTTGGAGACAATCCTTTAAAGTAATGAGACATGACTCTAAATTCTTTTGTAATTTCTTGCATATATGGTCTGCGATGTCTGTAGTTGATAAAGGTGTCTTGGCAAACTTGAAAAATGAAGTTAAATCATTTTGTGGTATTTCTCCGTTTTCATCGGGAAGACCTTGATCTTTATGATATAAATGTTGTGGTTGTGGTGCTACACCGAAAGAACTCTTTCGTTTAATCCTTCTTTTTTGTTTTCCGTTCGGAGAAGGAGGTAAACAGAAGAAATCATCATTTGTTTGCAAGTTCTTTTGCATAGACTGCCAGAGGGGCTTATTTAATCCATTAGAAACTGAAATTGATTTAGATAAAGTTGGATTTTCAAGATTTTCAACACGACGAGCTACAGCCGGATGAGAAACAGGTTTCAGTTCAATGTTATCTGGTATTTTAATAATATTTTCCCCAAGAGGCGAAGGAGATTCTGTCATAAAAAATTTTACAAAAGTAAATTGAATAAAATATTGCAAAAAAGAGCGATGACTGGACTCGAACCAGCGACCTTAAGGTTATGAGCCTTACGAACTAAACCAACTGTTCCACATCGCTTCTTCGAAAGCATGTAATCTTTTAAATACAATTGTAATACTTATCATTGAATTTATGATTTTTGATGATTTTCTAGATAAATATTAATTTGAAAGTCGGAGAATAACATAGTCCAGTTCAACATCCTGATTCAGTTTATCTCTCAATTTAAACTATTATTATTCTTTCGTAATTAATAATTTTTTTATTGAATTTTATTATCATTTATTTCCATATCGCGCTCACTTTCCTTAATACGTCCTACGAATTTCTAAATATCAATTCATTTATTGGGATATATCTTTAATTAATCAGGAAATTGAAATCAATCAATATATTGATATTTTATTCATAATTTAATCTGTAACCTATACACACATATACACAAAGGCATTTTTCTTGATTTTATGCAATATTATTCCAAAATTCATCATTTCCATTGAAAGTATTTTTGAATAGTCCCCTCAAAATTTTACATTTTGAATGTGATCCAAAATTTTGAAAAGAATTATTTTTTAACAGTAATCCAAACTATTTAATTCATTGAAAAACCTGATACATGCTCTTATCTGACATACTATAGGGGATCGTAGGGTCATTTCATGATTGCTATGCCTGACAAATGTTCAGACACAGAAAATGATATGAAAAAGATAGTAAAAAGATCTAAATTTAATGCGTATGATGATGCAAGACTTAGATATTATGTTTCATTAATTGGTGATAACAAATGGTTCGAAGTATCAGTATTGATGGGAAACAAGACATCAAGACAGTGTAGAGAGAGATATCAAGCATATTTATCACCTTCAATCGTAAATAGAGTATGGTCAGATGAAGAAGATTTACAACTATATGCAAAATATTGCAAAATGGGACCAAAATGGAGTCAAATTGTCACATTATTTCCTGGAAGGAGTAGTACAGCCATAAAAAATAGATTAATGTTAATATTGAGAAAAAAGAAGAATACTGAATATGATGTTTTTCAGTCATTTGAACCTGATTAAGATACATATTCCATCCTGTCGCAGTCAATGTTCAAAACTTCAACTCTTTATTAACAAATTTCTTTTATTAGAGAAAAATAGAGTAAATTTTATCACTTTTCTATCATATACATATAACACAATACAATCCAAATCAGAAAACTTCAAATAATTCGAAATGCTGAAATATTGAAAGAGTAGAGAAAAATTGATTCAGCGGCCATTAGCACCATAAACATTCTAATGACAGGTAAAGGAATTCAATCATTATAATATAAAATCAATTTCGAAAATATTTAGAAATTTTTCGGTAGGATTCAAAATTTCATTCAGCGACCACTAAGATCATAAAAAAGATTAAGATTAGTAATTAAAGCGTTATATCAAGAGGTAAATTTTAAATAAAAAAAATTATATCATTATTCTCTTAAGCTGATGGGTACTTTTCGACGATCTTCTGAGCGATTCTCTGGAAAAGATTGCGAACAGATTGGCTATCCATAGCGCAAGTTGGGATAGCTTCGATCCAAGCGTCTGGGGAACGATTTGGAGGAAGATGGTTAATAAATGTTTCCTTAATATGGTTAATGCAATCATCCTTATTATTAATATCTCCTGTAAATCCTGGGTAAGCGCTGTTGAAAGCTTCTGGGGATTTCTTGATCTTCTTCTGGAAAAGATCAAATTTGTTCAAGACGAGGAAGAATGGAGTTGACTCGAAGATTGGTGTCGAGGCAATGTTCTTGAAAAGCTCGATAGAATCTGCTGTTCTTGTTGTAGATTCATCTTCGAACAATGTCTGATCGAAATCTGAAAGGGAGACGACAAACATGACGTATGTAACGTTCTGGAAGCACTTGGACCAGTTCTTACGTTCGTTTCTTTGGCCACCGACATCGACCAGATTTGTTGGAATTCCTTTAACATCGAATGTAAGATTGGAGATACCGACTGTACGAATACGGGCCTTAAGAATATCGTCGTTGGTTGGTGTATAACTTGGATCGGCTATACGTTTAACATTATCAAGGAAGTAGTCTGCATTTTCACCAATACCGATAGAGTTTGATGCCTTGTAAACGTTCTTGATGGCTGGATCTGCCCAAACTTTAGCAATTGACTCGGCAGATTCTGTTGTGAAATCATCTGGCTGAGCAACATCTAAATTCTTGATGCAATCAATATCTGATTGGATTTCTGTTAAGAAGTTTTGGTTGCTATTTTCGGCTGTGCTAACAAGAAGCTGGATATCACCGACAATTGCTGTACGTAATGCGTTGATAAGATTTCTACGCTCGGAATCTGTAAATCCTCCGCAATATGTGATTTTGAGTTGTCTCCATAATGTAGTTTTACCGCACTCACCGGCACCTAATGTAAGAATTTTCTCTTTGGCTTCAGCGTTAGATTTCTTAATTGGAATGCCATCTTCCTTTGGTTCTGCTGCCTTTGGCTTTTCTTGAGCTGGCTGTTCGGCTTGCTTTGTTGTATCTTCTGCTGATGAAGCTCCGCAACCCATTTTTATGAATGGCTTCTCAAAAAGTATTTTTTTTGTTATATAGAAAAAGTGACTATACGTAAGTAGTAGGATATGAAGGGTTGTGTGACTTTTTTTGTTACATCTATATATAGACGATGCATTAAAATATATTTATTTATAAATCATTAAAAAATTAACATTAATTTTAAAATAATTTATTTTTTTATCTTTTATAAAAGAAGCTATATATAGATGATGTCAGATATTCCGCGATTAATTAAACATTGTTTAAATCCTGAATGGGTTAAACTTCAATTTAAAAATGAAGATTGTGAATTATTAAATGAATATGAAAGCCAAAATAAGCTAATGAGGTATAAATATAATGATAAAGAATATTTAATTTCATGGAATCAATGGAGTCATAATCAAAGACCTCATAAACGAGAAGAAGAAATTGAAAATAATGAAATGGAAATCATTGATGACATTAAAGAGGATGGAATTCCTAAATTTTGTAGAAAAACCTTTAGAACTAAGTTAGGAGCATATAAACGTAGAGTATTAAATCCTGAATATCTTAAACATCAATTTAAAAAGGAAGACTGTGAATTATTAAACGCTAATGAATATGAAAATGCTAAATCAAAACTGAGATATAAATATATTGGAAGTGATGAAAGGTGTAAAGATAAAGATAAAGTTTATTCAGTTTCATATAATAACTGGCACACGTTAGGGATAAGAAAACATTTAGGAGATTATGGTAAAAGTTCCGAATTCTTCAAATCTAGTATGTACGAGAGAATAAAATAAATCAGATATAATTATTTTCATGAATAAAAGATTCACTACCATAATGAAATAAAAAATAAAAAAATTTTTAAAAAATAAACTTCTTACGAAAAATTAAAGCTTAGTTATGTTTATTATTTTATTTTATTATTTTGTATGAAATGAGTGTCAAAACTAACAACGTTAAAAAATTAGGATTCACAAACGAGGAAATAAAGGATATATTAGAGGAGGTGGGTTATGAAGTTAATAAATATTATTTAAGAAATTGTCAAAAATTTGCCGAGTTATTAAATGATTTAGATTATGATGGAAAAATGAATAAAGATGATGTTATAAATTTCTTATATCCTACATCTGAAGAAGAAAAACCTAAAGAACCTGATGTTTTCCCTGAATATTATGAAGAACGGATTAAAGATGATGAATACAATGAAATTGAAAGACTGAAAAAAATAAGAGATGAAATAGATGAAAGAATTAAGGAATTAAGAGAAGTTGAAAAATATAATGAAAATGAAGTAGAGGGTTTAATGAATATCCCAGCTTCAGAATCAGAAGTTCAGAAATCTCATGAAGAAAGATATAAAAATTATGTCTCAGAATCAACACAAAATTTATTAGATGGTGAGATAGACGAAACACTTTCAGAAGAAGGTACTAAATTTATTCGTAAACATAAGTTACAATTTATTGATAATGAAGAATACCCTTGTATCTTACTTTCACCCCCTCTCGATTCTGAGAAATTCAAAAAAGCTCTTAAAAACGTAACTTATGCAACTAATACGATTAAGAAAGAAGATCATGATATTTACACAAATTATTATTTAAATAAATGCACAGGTGTTGATAAAGTTTTTGATTTATTAGATAAAATATCAAAAGAAACCATTGGAACATATAAAATTTTATGTGATTGCGGTTTCATTGTTGAAGATACTAATAATGTTTCATATGAAAGAACAGCACCGAAGGAAGATGAAGTGGAAAGGTCTATACCATTCGTTATTAAGAATATAAAAGATATGAAAACTTATAAACATTATATTTATTCATTTATTTCAGAAAAAATGGAAGCAACCCATAAAACATCTTCTCATCATTTTATAGCTATTCATACATTCCTTTTCAAAGTTGTGAAATTAAATAAGACAGGAATTAGATTTAATGTATCAGGGTACGCATTCTTGAGTAAATTAAAATGTATTCGTCACGTCGCAGATGATAAAAATTTATGTGTTCTTAATTCATTTTATGGGCTTTAAAAAATAAACTTTATTTTTATTTATTTTTTAATTTTTTATTCTTACATAAATGAACAAAAACGGAACAGCTAAAATGAATGATAATCAAATTAGAGCAGAAGGTAGAAGGTTATTTAAACGCTTCTATAACATTCCTGATGGTGTTAATCCTAAAACTCGTAGAAGCTATTTAAATGAAGCAATAGATGCATATGAAGGGTTTGACATTTCATCAGAAAGTGAGAGATTAGCGAGAATGTTAAATGTTAATATTGATTTCTATTATTGTGATCCTCAACCAGAAGACGTGGACATAAATAAGGTAGACTTTCCATTAGTGGAATCAATAATGATAGATCCAGAATTTGAAACAGTAAATATTTTATTAACACAGAGTCCATGTGGAAAACTTCACGCTGACAGAATAACAGACGTTGAAGCACTCACTGGTTATAAAGTTTGTCCATTTTGTAAAGAAGAAGTTTATTCTATCCGTAATGATCCAGAAAGGAAAAACCAAAGAAGATTTTTAAAGCATTGTGAGAAATGTAAAGAAAATAATGGAAGATTAATTCAAGACGTTCAGTTGCAAAAGACACAGCAACCATATGCACCACATATTACGAAACAGAAGATATATCAGTGGTTATTAGCTCACAATTTGCAGGAATATTATAAACCGACAAGATATTATATTACTTTTGACTTTGAAACATTAGAGACTAAAGAAGAATTACAACTTTCTGAGTGTGCAACTTTGAACGCTTACTTAAAACCATTCATGGTATCATCAACGGCTAAATTAAATGATAAAACATATACGAGGAATTTTTGTTTAACTTCGAGTGATTCTTTTATTTCTGATTGGATTGAGTTTTTATTTTCAACCTGTTCATTAGTTGCTAAATCAAATATGAGTCAATACAATGAATTAATGAAGCCGCAAACGGCGGGGACTTTGTCCCATACATTAAATGAAAAACAGAAGGAAGCATTTAAAGAACTTCTAGATGAGGAATTCAATAAAGTGAATATCATAGGTTTTAATTCGGGAAAGTTTGATTTAAATTTAATTCTTCGTGATTTAAACACTGCAAAATGGAAAATAAAATCAATGCTGGGTTCTTCTTCTCAATTTAAGCAAGTCATTGTAAAGAAAACAAACGCTCCATATGAATTGAGATTTATTGACATCAGAAATTATATAGCGGGTGGGACATTAGACCAATTCACTCAAGATTTCGGAAACAATAAATCACGTGTTAAATCCTTTTTCCCTTATCAATTTATCACATGGGAGAATTCCGAAGAAGAATTATATAAAGAGGAACCATTCACGAAAGATTCATTTTATTCAGCATTAACTCAAGAAACTATATCAGATAGTGATTATCAAATATATCTCAATGATGCTAAAAATTTTAAGAATAGATTAGAATATTTTATTCATTATTGCAATAAAGATGTTGAAATTATGATTGACCCAATCGATAAAATTATTGAAGAAACATTTGTTTATAAAATTGATATGCTTCATAATCTTTCTTTATCATCGAATGCTTCAATGATTCGTTACGCTTTAGCATATAAAGACTTTAATCCTAATGAAAAATATCCTGAGGAAGAGATAGAATCAAGTTTTGAATTAACGAAAAAGTATTGGAAATATAAAATTGAATCATATAAGAAACAAGATGAAAAAGCAGAAAGGGATACTAAAAATAATGTTTCAATGGATGATTTTCAATACTATCACGATTTAATCCTTTCATCTAAATGCAAAATGTGTGGTAAAGCGTTTACATATGCAAATAAACCAACATTAGATAGAAAAGATAATGAAAAACCACATACCAAAGAAAATTGTTGGTTAATGTGTTGTTATTGCAATGTCGTGAAATCAAATAAAGATGAAGATGTTCAACGTTTAAGAATCAATTTAAGAAATTATGCATTAAAAAATAATTTACCAATGACTTTAGATTCAGTTGAAGCTTATCACATTCTCCGTAATGGAATTACTGGTGGTCTATCAAATGTTCAACATAGAGTAAATCTTAAAGGAATCACGCACATTAATAAACTTTCATATAGTCCAGAAACTAAAACTGTATCAAATGAGGACACCACCAACATTATGACTCATTTCGTTGGTGTTGACTTTAATTCATTATATCCTTCATCATTTTCATCTAATCCTCATGATTTCATTCAATATACTGACCATAAAATGTATATGCCGGGAAGATTGAATGGTGTTATCATTTGTGATACAGCAACAAAGAAAGCAAAAGCACTGGGAATTATTAAAAAGAAAAATACTTTATTCGTGGCTGAAGTAAAGGGTCACATTGATGAAAAATACATTAATGATTACATAAACTTTTTACCGATAATAAGAAACTTAGATATTATCACAGATGAAAAAACAATTGGCAGTTTTATGTATAATTACATGAAATCAAACAATCTACCAGTTGACCAGAAACAGAGAAAATTAACTCAGTTAGCATCAACACACAACCAATATCAACCATTTTCTTCTTATTATCTTTGGTATCTAATTGACAGATTTCATTTTATCATCGATGATATTCAATCAATTTTAACATTTACTAAAAACACTTGTTTTAATGAATTTGCGAACAAATTTATGAACGAAAGACAAAAGGCTGAATTAGAAGGAAATAAAGGAAAAAGTTTATTTTGCAAGATTTCACTTAATGGATCATATGGTTACGATGCAATGAATACACAAAATTACACAAAGACTAAAATAATGATGAATGCACAGAAGGCACGCGTTGCATGTATGTCAAATAAGTTTAAAAACATAAGAGAAATAGGTGAAGATACGTATCAAGTGATGCTCAAAGATAGATTTTATAGATGTGATACATGTTTACAAGAGGCATTCTTCACTTTAGATAATGCTAAATACTGGTATTTGGTTTTCATTTATGATTTTATGTATAAATGCATGAATGTTAATCGTTT